CTTGATTCTTACTTTGTTCATAAATTTTACATTAGCTTTAGATAGCTAGTCAGATATCCTTTCTCCTGCCTCAAGTTCTCTCTATGATATTTTATGTGTGATTTTTTTAATCTAGTGGAATAGATTCAGTGTCACAGTATGTAGTGACCCCAGATATCAGTTTGACTTTAAAATATCTTTAGAACTTCCCTGGTGGTCCATTGGTTATGAATCCACCCTCCAGTGCAGGGAACATGGGTTCGATCCTTGGTCCAGGAAGATTCCACATGCTGCACTCAGGACAGCTAAGCCTGTGTGCCACAACCGCTGAGCCCACGCGCTCTAGAGCCCTTGCTCTACAACAAGAGAAGCCACCACAATGAGAAGCCTGCGTACCACAACTGGAGAAAGCCCTTGCACAGCAACAAAAACCCAGCACAATCAAAAGGAAACCAAAAAAGACTGAATGTCTTAAACAACAGAAATTTTTAAAAACTCTAAAATCACAATGGCAGTATTTACTTCCTTTGCTTCTTTCTAATATGATGATATCTACCATGTGTTTGGCTGGTTAAGCTGAATCATACAAAATGATTCAGTACTTCAAGAATTAAGCAGTTAAAAGCAAAGCAGAATTTATGTTATGTATATTTACCACAACGTAAACAAAACAAACAAAAAGCAAAGCAAAATCAGAGTGGGGAGGGAGAGATGGATTATAAAGTGGTATGAGGAAACAAGAGTGAATGATATGTTTATCTTAATTTTGATGATTTCACAAGGGTATAATGTTAAAACTCATTAAATTATACACTTTAAGTATACACTTATTGTATGTCAATTATATGTCATTCGGTAAAGCTGAAAATATAGCCCACATATCCCCTCTGCCCCCGACCCCTGCATACACAGAGCAGAGTCTTCTGAGAAGTTCCTATAAACATGTCTTTGGATGTGTTAAGTGTTATTCTATTAAACTTTAAGGAATCTTAATTTGAAGTCATGGAAAGTAGCTGGTGAGAATATAGTATGACATTTATCCCCTTGATTTATTATGGCATCTTTAAAACTCTACTTTGTATCATGAATGAAAAGTACAGCTGACTTAAACGCCACCTATTTGTAATGTCAGAAGAGAGAGGAACAGAGAAAAAATTTTTTTATTGCTTAAGTTGAAAGCTTATCAGGAAATCCTAGTAAAACTTTTCCGACAGGAAAGATCTATACAGCTGGCAAATCAGGCAGCTTTGGAATCAGGCCAATAACCATGTCAGTTCTATTTGATTGGTCCTTGGACCTTGCTACTTTCAGTATCTGACCTTTTTATTTCACTGTTCATTTAGGCTGGTCTGACTTAAGCTTACAAAAACTTAAGGAACCTATGCTATGGGAAGAATGTTCTTAATTGAAGGAAGAAGCAGCAGTAATGATGAGAGTTTCTTTTACTAAAAATTTGTGGATTTCTGGGAGACAGCATTCTGGTTTTCCCACTTACTAGCTGTGTGACCTCTGGATAGGTTGCTTAACCTCCCTGATCCTTAGTTTTCTCACTTGTATATTGGAACTAAAAATACCTGCTTCTCAAGTTATATGGATTATATGAGAATAATGTATATAAAGTACCCATCACAGTGTCTGTCACTGGTAATATTGAAGAAAAATAGTTATTATTATGATTGTTGCTATTACTGTATTACCTCCTTGCAACACATTTAGATTGCTAACACATACTTCTTAGAATATATGTATCATCTACACTGATTCAGAGTTAGGAAGGAGAGAGAATCTATTTTTAGAGATCCTGAAAGAACCTTTGATGAGGGCCTGTCTGTGTAGAAAATGATTATTGGACATTTTTTAAAAATACATTTATTAGGCTTGTATTATGTCTTAGTTGTGGCATGCGGGGTCTTCATTGCAGTCCATGGGCTTCTCTTGTTGAGGCCCTTGGGCTTAGTAGTTGGCTGCTCCAGCTCAGTTGCCCCATTGCTTGTGCGATCTTAGTTCCCCAGCCAGGGATCAAACCCTCTTCCCCTCCATTGGAAGTCTGATTCTTAAGTACTGGACCACCAGGCAAGTCCCCAAACATGTTTAAAAGTAAACTTTTTACCTTGAAAAAGACAAGTAAAACTTTCAAAAAAGGAATATTAAAATGAAGCCGTTTATGACTCACTCAGTTTCATTTGGGCTTCCCTGGTGGCTCAGCGGTAAAAAATCCACCTGCAGTGCAGGAGACGCTGGAGACGTGGGGAAGATCCCTGGGTGGGGAACATCCCCTGGAGGAGGGCATGGTAACCCACTCCAGTATTCTTGCCTGGAGAATCCCGTGGACAGAGGAGCCTGGTGGGCTACAGTCCATAGGATTGCAAAGAGTCGGACACAACTGAAGCGACTGAGCATGCGCTCACGCAGCTTTATACAGTGATGAAATTTTGCCATATTTGCTTTACCTTTTTGTATGTAATATAAATTTTTTTCTTTTCTTTGTTTGCTAAGGAAGTTTCTTTTTTTTTGCTAAGGGTAAGTTGCAGCGATTAGAGATCATAACCCTTTGTCCCTAGATACTTCAGCATTAAAAAAAAGGACAGTCTTTTACGTAACAGTGTAATTATCAACTTCAGGAAGTTTATTTTAACATTGATACATACTATTTTCTGATACAACCCATATTTTAATTTTACTGGTTGTCCTAATAACTATCTTTTATAACGATTTCTCCCCCAATCTAGAATTATGCATTATATTTAGTTGTCATTTCTTTGGTCTTTCAACCTGGAACAGTCTTTCAGCCTTTCATTGTTTTTCATGATTGACATTTTTTTGAAGAGTACAGGCTTGTTTTGTAGAGCGTCTTTTAGTTAAGGTTTGTCTAATTGTTCCTCATAAACACATATAGGTTATGTGTTTTTGGCAGATAATATGACCCAGGTGCCTTGTATCAGGAAGCATTATTGGTGATGTTAATTAGCTGTAATTATTTAGGTAAGAGTTGTTGTTGTTTTTTTTTTCACTTTAAAGGTAACTCGCTTTACTTTGTAATTAATAAGTCACTGATGGAGAGAGAGTTTGAAACTGTGTAAACTCCTGTTCCCAAACAAAATTTCCCCCAGTGGTTTTAGAATCTTAAGGAGCATTTTTATATCATAAACGTGGTTTCCTCACATTGATTGAAGAAGTCTTCTTAAGAAAATAGCTTTTACTGTAAAAATTATAATACCTTGTACACAATACACTCTCAATATTATTATTATTATTATTATTATTTTCACTCTCAATATTATTGACTGCCTGATCTTTGAGCTACCTGACACCATTTGCTGATTATATTTCTCGTAATGGATTTTGTCTGCCTACTCTGAGAATTTAACAGATATTTGCAGCAAAATCTTGTTGTTTGCAGATTAGAAACGGTCATTAATTGATTGATTAGGTGTTCTTAGCAGGCCACTCAGATCAGTGAGATGAGAGTAGTAAATCTGAATTCTCGGTATTTCAAAAGAATAATTAATAACAATCATGAAAATCTCTCATCATCATCACTGGAAAAATTTATTAAATATATAATTCTCTCCTTCATTTTATTTTAATTTGTGATGAAAGGACAGTTGAATTTGAATATGCAATGAAAGGAAGTTTCTGTGTAGTATTCATCTTTCACTTTAGACTCTGACATTTTTTTCATATCAGGCTAATAGTTAGCCATGACTCATGAGGTGTCTCCTTTAGTCTCTTAAGAATTAGGTCAGGTTTCTTGTAGATCTTGTCACATTGCTCTTTGGAATTTAGCCAGAGGAAAGAAAGTAAGGCACGATTGCAATTGTTTAGATAAATATCTTATTCAGGAGGGCCTATTAGAGGCAGAGAGACAGGGTAGAAAGTCCTCATTCTATCTAGTATTTTGTTTTGTTTACCACTTCTGTTCTGAGGATTTTTTTCCATCTGTCATTGTATCTTGGACAGAGGTGACAGTTGATCATTGAAGTTCCTCTCTCTCCAGTTCCTGGCTGATACCTAAAATGTTATCATTATCAAGAAATCAATTTATTTGTGAAAAATATGTCACCTAAGCATAAAACATCAGATATTCAGAACTTTTCTGTAATAGTTGCTAAATGCTTTCTTCTAAATGAGACAACAATAAATAAATTTTCCTTGGGGGAAGAAGCCTGGATGGGGTTTTAGTAGTTGGGGATTGTGAACAAGCTTAAGGTGCTAAGACTCTGAAAGAGGAAGGGGAAATGAGTATTGAAAAAGGAAAGACATTTAAAAGATACAAGTATGTTTGTTGTTTAGCTGCTAAGTTGTGTCTGACTCTGAGACCCCCTGGGCTAGAACAGCTTGCCAGGCTCTGCTATCCGGGGATTTCCCAGTCAGGAATACTGGGGTGGGTTGCCATTTCCTTTTCTAGGCATCTTCCCAAACCAAGGATCAAACCCGAGTCTCCTGCATTAGCAGGCAGATTATTTACTGCTGAGCTACCAGAGAAGCTCACAAGTATACTTACTCTACAATATTCATACCTCTAACTCTGGACAAGTAGTCTTTGAAATATACAGAGCATTTAGAGTTAAGAAATTCAGACTTTGTTAACTAGTAATTGCTGATGGCCATCTTTTTTTCTTTTTTAAAAAAGACTCTTTTCTCCATCTGTACCAAAGACATACCTTTTACATTTCCTTGCACCTGTCAGACCTCTCGGTGTCCTAGGGATGTGATGGAAGGGTAGTGAAAGTCTGTATAACTAACTTTCTCAGCCAGGTTCTTCCAGTGTTTTGCATGCAATCAGGGTATGAAATAAATAGTATTGTTTGTGTGGTAATTTCCAAGGTCCAGGTGATTAATTGTGACCATTGTTCCACAGAGAGGCATTTCAGTGTTTATACTAGAGCCTGGTTTTTGTGACGCTTTGCTCTTTTTTACTAGATGCATTTGGTTCATCTTTGTGAAGTGTGTGCTTTTCCCTGTCATTGAGAAATTTTCTCCCCAGTGATAAAAAAATTATTTTCACTTCCTATGACCAGTTAAAAGAAGATGGATGCACAGAATTCAGCCAAAGTCAACACAAGGAAGAGGAGGAAAGAGACACCTGGACCCAATGGGGCGACAGAAGAAGATGGAATTCCTTCAAAAATGCCACGCTGTGCAGTTGTAAGTAAGGAAGAGATTTCTTTGTTGAACTCTTAACCTTGCAAGGGGAAGGTAGAAAGTGATATAACACTGATGATATCAACATTACTTCTTATCAAGTCTTCTTAAATAATGGAAAGAATGAATAGTAAGTGTGAATAGTGACTTTCCAACAGTTTCTGGAAATGTTATGCAGGTTATAATTCACAGTTCAGTTGTAAGAACTTTACAAACTAATGAAATAGAGAAATTGCAGCTCCAGGGAGTGATCTGATCTTGGTATCATCTCTTGTTTAGTTTTCTGTGTCTTATTGTCTTTTCTGTCATATCACTGCTCCACTCCATTACTAATTATATCTTAGATGAGAACCTTTTTCTTCTACTGCCTACCTTATGTTCCTTTATCTCTGAAGTGTTATCTTTATATTTCCTAACCACTTACAAACATTTGATGAAAGACTGCTCTCCAAACTCTTCATCCTGTTTCAGGTTGGTACCCTTCCTGAAGCTTCCCCTGGAAAGCATATCAAAGTATAATTATAGATAATTGGAGTTATTATTGGTACACAGTGTTACTATGAAATCCATGTTTTAAAATCCCAGTAACAGAATTACATGTTTCTGTATTTCTTGTACCTGTATTAACCACTAGCCATTGATTAAACTGCAGTTTCCACTGGTTACTTTTGGAACTTCATAACCCAGAAGGAAAAACATTTCTACTCTGACATGGTGCTGCTGCTAAGTCACTTCAGTCGTGTCCGACTCGTGTGTGACCCCATAGACGGCAGCCCACCAGGCTCCCCCGTCCCTGGGATTCTCCAGGCAAGAACACTGGAGTGGGTTGCCATTTCCTTCTCCATGCATGAAAGTGAAAAGTGAAAGTGAAGTCGCTCAATTGTGTCCGACAAGATAGTATATTGGCTTGGAATAACTGTTACTCTGACATAAGTAACAGTTATTCCAAGCCAATATACTATCTTGAGCAGTAAAAGCAACTGGACTTCACAAATGGGAGGTTTATGCTCCAGGACTGATGTTAATGATGATGCTAAGGGCAAGTGTATTCATTTCCTGTTTCTCTGTAACAAATTACCACAAATTTAATGAATGGCCTAAAACAATACAGATATATTATCTTATAGTTTTGGGGATTAGAAGTCTGAAATGGGTCTCAGAAAGCCAAAGTCAAGTGTTGGTAGGGCTGGAGGTTCTAGGGGAAAACTGTTTGCTTATATTTCCCAGCTTCTGGAGGTTGCCCATATTGCTTTGCTCAGGGGACCAGCTAGCAGTCACAACACTCTGACCACTGCTTCTGTCATCACATCTCCTTGTGAATCTCCTGTCTCTTTCTTTCACTTGTAAAGACTTGTGATTACATTGGATGGGCGTACTTAGCTATTCCAGGACAATATATCTCAAAATCCTTTAATCACATTTGCAAAGCCCATGTTGCCATGTAAGATAGCATAGTCACAGGTTCGAGAACATAAAATGTACACATCCTTAGGAGAACGTTATTCTTTATACCACAGCAGGTAAACTCAGAAAATGACTCAGCAGTCAATAAAACAGGGCATTGTTAATTTCTGAATGTTTCTTAGAGAATTCAGGTTAAGGAGATGGTGGTAGGCACAAATTCAGCATTCTCACTTGTAGTAGGGACAGGCTATAACCAAGAAGGTAATACTCTGAGCTGATCACCGGAGCCAGGAATAGACCTAAGAAGATGATACTTAGTGGAATGGGCTCTGAGAAGAGTTAAATCTCTTGGTTTTTAGAATCTGAGGAATCTCAGTGTTTTTAGTTACTCTGCTTCATACATTCATGTCACAAATCAGAAATGGCTTGCTACCAATTTCACATTCCTCTCTGGTATACACTGGCTATTTATCAAGGGCTAATGAGCAAAGATTCACTCACCCAACAGGCTGGACTGTAATGAGGAGTGTCTGCTAAATAAACTTGTGTGTAATCTCTGCTGTACACATATGCTTTCTATCTCTGAATCTCTTTCAACTCTGTAGAAAAAACAAGATTTTTTAATTTTTTTCCTTACTGAGATCATTTAAACTGTACAACTCAATGGTTTTTAATATATTCATAGAGTTGTGCTACCATCACCACAACCAATTTTAGAATATTCTTATCCCTAAAATAAACCCCATACCCATTAACAGTCACTCCCCATTTCCTCCCAAGTTCTCACCACTAGAAACCACTAATCTAGGGGGGACCGGGATGGGGAATACATGTAAATCCATGGCTAATTCATTTCAATGTATGACAAAAACCACTGCAATGATGTAAAGTAATTATCCTCCAACTAATAAAAATAAATGGAAAAGAAAAAAAGAAAAAAAAAGAAACCACTAATCTACGTTATTCCTATAGATTTGCCTATTCTGGACATTGCAGGCAAATGGCAATACATAATAGCTGGTCTTTTGTGGCTGGCTTCTTTTACTGAATGTGTTTTCACGATTCATTAATGTGGAATATTCAGTACTTTTTTTTGTTTTTATTGACAAGTAATATTCCATTGTATATCACACACCACATTTTATTTATCCTCTCATTAGTTGATATTTGGGTTGAACAAACAAGATTTTATGACATACTTAACATGGTGCCTGCATGGCAGTGGTTACTGGGAGTGTTAAATAAGACCTTCCCTTTGAGAGATGTGAACATAGTATAGAGCTCTGTAACTCAAATCTCAGCTAGCTTTAAAAAAAGGTGCTTTCCTTGAGAGCAGGGAAAGGAATAGGATGTGTCACCAAGTATTCGGTAGCTGGGTTTGTATGTCATGATAGAATGGATATAAAAGAGAGAAAAGAATTAAGGAGGAAAAATTAAAGGATAACTTTATGGCTAGTTTGTCTTTAAGTATAAAGAATTTGTGCTTCCTGGGTGGCTCAATGATAAAAGAATCCACCTGCCAAGCAGGAGACATGGGTTTGATCCCTGGGTCAGAAGATTCCCTGGAGAAAGAAATAGCAACCCACTGCAGTATTCTTGCCTGGGAAATCCATGGACAAAGGAGCCTGGTGGGCTACAGTCCATGGGGTTGCAAAAGAGTTGGACATGACTTAGCCACTAAAAAACAACAACAGTCAGGAGAAAGTTTTTATGAAAGCAGTATCGCCATTTAGAAGTTCTTTCATAATTTGGAGGATAATGATGATCATTGTAAGTTTTAATTTTTAGTTATAATACTATTAGTTATAGTATTATACTGTAGTAGTATATACTGTTGGGCTTCTCAGGTGGCCCTAAGTGGCAAAGAATCTGCTTGACAATGCAGGAGACATGAGACATGGGTTTGATCCCTGAGTTGGGAAGATACCTTGGAGGAGAAAATGGTAACCCACTCCAGTATTCTTGCTTGGAGAATCCCATAGATAGAGGAGCCTGGTGGGCTGTGGTCCATAGGGTTGAAAAGAGTCGGACACAACTGAAGTGATTCAGCATGCATGCATGCAGTGTATACTATTAGTTATGGACTTCCCAGGTGGGGCTAGTGGTTAAGAACCCATCTGCCAGTGTAGAAGACATAAGAGACACGGATTTGATTCCTGGGTCAGGAAGATCCCCTGGAAAACGGCATGCAACTCAGTCCAGTATTCTTGCCTGGAGAATCCCATGGACAGAGGAGCCTGGTGGGCTACAGTCCATAGGGTCACAAAGAGTTGGACACGACTAAAGAGACTTAGCACGCACTGTTAGTTATAATTTGCATAGACTTAGAAATTGTATATAACATTTAGAAGCTAACCTCTTAGATTAATACAAATTAGTTAATTTTGTTGGCATAAAGAAACCTGTGTTCCATAACATGGAAGAGAGAATGAGTTAATGTTGTAGACTTGTTGAGTGACTACTTGTATGTGAAACACTATACTAGTTACTTTGCATATGCTATTTTATTTAATCCTCATGACAAACTTATGGAGCAGGTATTACTGTCTTCCATTTTATAGATGAGAGCTTAGAAGCTTGCCATGATTTCACTGCTATTAAGTGATAGGGCTGGAATTTAGATCTAACGATTTTCAGGTCCTAAAGGCTTGCCCTTTCATTTGTACTTTGCTACTAGAGAATCAGAAGACTTGAAAGCTGTAATATTCCATAGGATTCATTTGAGGTTAAAATAAAGGAGATTTGTTTTAGGAGAACATAGGTAGAAAGAAATACTTGGTCCTACTTTTATAAGCTTTAGCTTTTAGTGATACTTTTTTGAGAGGAGAATAATAAGGTGGTTTTTGTTTGTTTTTTAAATACTACTCATTCTAACTGTAGGTAGCTCTAGACAGTTAAAGGTTTTTCTGATCTGCTGTAGCTGAAGAACCTTAGGTTTCATTCTCTATACTTAGGAGGAATTGATTCAGCACAAACTCTAGCCAGAAGGGACAGCTGGATTGCCTTCTACAAGGAGGACTGAAGAAACAGAGTTATGAAAGATAGAATATTTAATGTACCTTTTAAAATTAAGGTAAAATTCACATAGCATAAAGTTCACCATTTTGTGCTATGCTTAGTCACTCAGTTGTGTCCAACTCTTTGCCATCCTTTGGATTGTAGCCCGCCAGACTCCTCTTGTCCATGGGATTTTTCAGGCAAGAATACCAGAGTGGGTTGCTATTTTCTCCTTTGGGGATCTTCCCAACCCAAGGATCGAACCTGTGTCTCCTGATTGTAGGCCGATTCTTTACCTTCTGAGACATCGGGGGAGCCCAAAGTTCACCATTTTAATCATTTTAAAATGTACAATTCAGTGGTTTTTAACACTAAAAATTCACAGTGGTTTTTTTACACTAAATCACCACTGTCTAATTCCAGAATATTGTTACTACCACGGAAAGAAATCCCATACCCGTTAGCAATCATTCCCTCATTCTCCCCTCCCTCTATGCCCTGGCAACCGCTAATCTACTTTCTCTCTCTAGGGATTTGCCTGTTACAGACATTTGGTATAATCACACAATATATGCCCTTTTTTATGTCTGGCTTCTTTTATTTAGCACAATGTTTTCAAGGTCCATCTAGGTGATAGTGCTTATCAGTACTTCATTCCTTTTTAAAAGTGAATCCATATAGACATACTACTTTGTTTATCCATTCATCAGTTGTTGGACATATGAATTATTTCAGAGAACACAGTAAGGCTGTCTTTCATCTACATGTACTAATGTTAATAAGCATAATTTTTTCTATTTCTTTCATATATTTTATATATAAGCATTTATTTATATAAACAACTTCATTGTGATAATTCTTATACCATTATAATTCACACACACATTTAGAGTGTGCAATTCAAAGTTTCTTAGAATGTTCACAGAGCTGTGTAGCCATCATCATAATACATTTTAGTACATTTTCATTACTCCAGAGAGAAACCCTGTACCAGTTAGCAGTCACTCTCCATTTCTCCCCAACCCTTCCAGCCCATTGTAACCAGTAATTTATTTTCTATCTATGAATTTTCCAATTCTGAACATTGCATATAAATGGAATCATATAATAAGTGGTCTTTTGTGGCTGGTTCTTTCACTTAGCATTTTTTCAAGGTTCGTCCGTGTTGTAGCAGGTATCCGTATTGCATTCCTTTTTATGTCTGAATGGCATTTGTTTTTTGAGGTATAACTTACATACAGTAGAATGCATAAACCTTAGGTGTACAGCTCAATAAATGTTTATATGTGTACTTATTCATGTATTAACTAGTACATCCAGAGACCTCCTCACACCACTGCTAGTCAGTATCCACTTTTCCCAGACTGTTTTTTTTGTTCTGTGGTTTCTATTCACCATAGATTAGTTTTGCCTGTTTTTGACCTTTACATAGGTGGAATCATAGAATATGTCTTATTTTGTGACTAGCATATACTTTTAGAAACACAAATTACTGTCAGGTATCTCTTTGAGTACTAACTTTTAGACGATAAATTGTGTTTTTCAATTTAATCTGTAAGTAAATCTAATTACTTCAGAAAATCACACATTTTGGGTCGTTGGTCTTTTTTTTTCTTATGATCTTTGTCTTTTTACTCCTTTTTAAAAATTTTATTTTATTTTTGGCTGTGCTGGGTCTTTGTTGCTGTGTGTGGGCCTTGTTGTGTTGAGTGGGGGCTCACTCTCTAGTTGAGGTGCTTGGGCCTTTTCATTGTGGTGGCTTCTCTTGTTGTGGAGCACAGGCTTGAGGTGCATGGGCTTCAGTAGTTGTGACACATGGGCTTAGTTGCCCCACAGCATGGGGGATCTTCTAGGACCAGGGATTGAACTGGTGTCCCTTGCATTGCAAGGCGGATTCTTAACCATTGGACCACCAGGGAAGCCCTCCCTCATCTTTTCTTAACCTCTTTTTAAAAACATCTAAAAAAAGATAACACACAAATTTCCTAAAAATGACTGTTTTTCTTATAGCTTAAGCATATTTTAAATTAAGCTTATATAAGTGATCTCTAAAAGAAATATATTTTCATTTTAAAACCTTATTTTAAAAATATATCCTTATCTGAAATTAAAAGTGTCTTCCCAGTTTCTGAATATAGCCCTGTCATGATATGATCTGTATAGAATTTAAAATTCTAAGTGAGCATCATTATAGCCCAACAGAAATTTAAAAAATTGTAAGGGAATATTATGAACAACTCCATTCCAAGAAATGTGACAATTCAGGTGAAACAGACTTATTCCTAGAAAGAGCTGAGTTGCTAAAACTGATCCAAGAAAAAAATAAAATGTGAATAGACCTGTCCCAATTAGAAATATTGCATTGTCTTTAAGAAAATCTTCCCACAAAAATAAAGCTGGACACAGATGACTTCACTGGTGAATTCTGTCAAACATTTGAGGAAGAAGTAATACCAACCCTATACACTTTTCAGAAAATAAAGGAGATAACATTTCATAATCCATTTTATGAGACCAGATATCAAAGCCAGGCAAAAACAGGACAAGAAAAGAAAATTATAGTTCAAAATCCCTCATAAACTTAGATGCAAAGATTCCTAATAATATATTAACAAATTGAATCCCAGAACATATGAAAAGATTTATACAGTGTGATCAAGAAGAATCTCACTCAAGAATGAAGATTGGCTTAGCATTCTAAAATCAGTGCATCTAATATACCATAATTAATTAAAAAAACCAAAATATGATTGTCCCAATATTGTATAAAAGGCATGTGACAAAATCCAACATTCATTCATTTAAAAACTTTCAACAAGGAATTAATTCACTGGTGGCCCAGTGATTAGGACTCAGTACTTTCTTTGCTGTGTCCCTCGTTCTATCCCTTGTTGGCAAACTAAAATCCTGCAAACTGCTTGACATGGCCAAAAAAACAAAACCCAAAACACCTCTCAACAAACTACAAAAGGAAGAGAGATTTCTCAATCTGATAAAGGACATCTAAGAAAAACCTATAGCTAACTTAATATTTGATGTTGAAAGATTTCATGCTTCTCCTCTAAGACTGGGAGTAAGGCAAGAATGTTTGTCCTTGCAATCTCTATTCACCATTGTACTAGAGGTTTCAACTAGTGCAATAAGGGATAATGAAAGGAAATTAAAGACATTCAGGTTGGAAAGGAATAACTAAAACTGTCTTTATTCACATACAACATGGTCTCATATGTAGACAATCCTACGGAACCTATCAAACAAACTGCTCAAACTGATAATTGAGTTTAACAAAGCCACAGGAGATGAGAATCAACTGAACTTACTCATACCAATATACATACACACTTACAAGCCAATTGCGTTTCTCTACACTGGCAAGGAACAACCCAAAAATAAAATGAAGAAAACAGTTACAAAAGCATCAAATAGAATAAAATACTTAGAAATAAATTTAACAAAAACTCCTAAGTAAGACTTTCCTCCAGAGAGGAAAAGAGCATACCTGTATTCATATTTCAGCTTTGCCTCTGAGTAATTACATGCAATTCGTATAACTTCTCTGAACCTCATTTTCCTCATCTTTAAATTGAGGGTATTAACTATCATACTACTTGCCTCACAGGGCTGTAAATGAGAATTAGAACATATTTACAGTATAAAGCATTACACAGTGATGATACTACTTAAAGAACATGGCTGCTGTTTGCCTTCCCAGTTCTGTACCACTTAAACCAAGTGGTAAGAAAATGCACTTGTGAACTTTGGCACTTTTATCACATAGTTCAGGGTTGGCTCTTCTACCATCTGGTAGAGGAGCTGTCATTCTGAACTTAGTTAGTTGGGACTATGTGTAGCTTCCAGCCACTGTCTACCATGGTGGCTGAAATCACCATTTATCTTTCATGCTATGATTTGTCCATCTGGTAAAAGGTTGTACTTTCACTTGTCATTTTGGAATGCTTATATCTTTTTCCTTTTTAAAGTTATGAAGATTTAGGAAAAATTTTAATCACAGCATGTTTAATAACTTCTGTCAAGCTACCATTTTTTTTTAGTATTTTATTGAACTTATCTTTTCCTTCATTTTCCTCTTCCTAAGGGTTTACGGCAGCCAGCGCCTTTTTCTGATGAAATTGAAGTAGACTTCAGTAAGCCCTATGTCAGGGTAACTATGGAAGAAGCCAGCAGAGGAACTCCTTGTAAGTAAATGATGAATTATGTTTTTGTTTGACTATTGTTTTTAACATTCAGTTGTATTTATGAAATATACACCTACTTTATATTCTTCCCTCAGTTTACCTGGAAAAGCTAGTTGAGCTTGCTGTTCTATTTGAGAGGATAATGTACCCCATAAAATTTCATTTTTTTCTTCTTATTGTATACTTACTTCCCAGTATTTTTGTCACAGATAGGAGATATAGTGATACACGTTTAGGGCTTTTATCATTATAGCTGGAGATACAGAGGAACAAAGAGGATAAAATATTAACTTGAGCTGGTATATAATATTGTCTGTTTTTTTCAGAGGCCAGATGATGTCAGACTGTCACATTTTTAATAGTCTTCAGAATTTCCCCCAAGTTTTCCTTTCTATCAGTCTGTACACTAGCTATGATACTACTGATTGATATAGAACAAAAATACCCCAAGTTGGGAGATGCTCTTCACTTAATTTTATCTTTATTGATATTATAGTTTTCCAAGTTTTTCAAAGAAGACTTTTTTTTATTATTTTCAAAGCCCATACTCTTTATTTGTATACTTAGTTTACATCATTAATTAGCAGTTTTTGGCCTCATAAATTATTAATATGTATCCTAGATACTTTCCCTGTTTTGGGCAGTTGGTTTTAGAGATTGTCAAATCCTAGTGTTCATTGCAGCACTGTTTACAATAGTAGAACTTGGAAGCAATCTAAATGTCCATCAACAGAGGAATGGATAAAGAAGATGTGGTCCATCTATACAATGGAGTATTAACTCAGCCATAAAAAGGAATGAAATAGTACCATTTGCAGAGACATGGATATAGACCTAGAGATTGTCATACAGCGTGAAGTAAATCAGAAAGAGAAAAACAAACATCGTATAGTATTGCTTATATGTGGAACTGAGAAAAATGTTACAGATTAACTTATTTGGAAAGCAGAAATAGAGACACAGATGTAGAGAACAAATTTTATGAATACCTGGTGGGGAGGAGAGAGTGGAATGAATTGGGAGATTGGGGTTGATTTATATTCACTACTATGTATAAAATAGATAACTCATGAGAACCTGTTGTATAGCAGAGAAAACCCTACTCAGTGCTCTCTGGTGATCTAAATGGGAAGGAAATCTTAAAAAAGGAGGGGATATATGTATAACTGATTCTCTTTGCTATATAGGAGAAACTAACAACATTAACTGTCCTTCAATAAAAATTAAAAAGAATAAAACAGAAACTGCACGAGCATTTGTTATGAATACAAAGTCCTGTTGGCATCTGTTCTTACTTCTCTTTAAGTTCTCCAATTCTCCTTTTTTCCCCAATCCTTTTTCATTTCTTTCTTGATTTCTATGGTTTTTATTCTGTAAATGTAGGGCTGGACTCAACCTAGGCAAGCTCTCAGGAATAAAAGGTGGTTATAGCCACAAATCTATATACATTTTCAGTATATAGAAGATATTTATAGTTACTGATTAATTGTGTTAGTATGTTTACTCTCTGTTGTAACTTAGAAGTAGTGAAATGAGTGCTGGACAGTGTCAGGCTAGGATCCTAATACCCTTTGGCTGTATCTTATCCATATATAGTATGGTTTTGAGGTCCTCAAAATTCCAGAGAATGTAGTCCTTTTGGAAGAATGTTTAGATATAGCTCATGTTGATCACAACCCTTCTGATTTATGATGTGATTTTTTTGGGGTTTGGCTCCTCTTACTTCAATAATAACTAGGCTAATGAGGCAGAGTAAAATGACACCAAGTAAAGACAGGCTGTATGTGATAGAGTAGTGGTGGCAGGTTAGACTTAAGAATGCTACTGGACAGTTCAGGGATCACATTCAGATGTGATAGTAGAGCCTGTGGAGGGCAAGGACTTTTCATATGCTAATGACACACATTGAGAATGCAGTACCTCACCAGATCTGATCATATTACCTTCCTTGCTAATCTAGCCACATACCACTTGTGGAAGATAAAAATGTATGTATATATATGTATACTGTTTCCAAGTTTTGACACTTATAATTAATAAATGCTAAATAGTAAATCTAATTTATAAAAATTTTATAATAGAATTTTACAGGTAAGTCATTTTTGAGATTATATACTTTATAATCTCTTCATTATATACATGAATAAAGGTCCATAGAAATTAAGAAGTGAAGTTTCCCCTACAGTGAAACAAATAATTAGTGATAGAATTGTAGCTAAAACCTAAGTTTTTCCATCTTTGTGTTCTTTTCACCCTGGAGTGTTGTTATTCTTTGTAGACATCAGTTATAAATAATAGAAGACCATCAGCAAAGTGATTATATCTTGGGTGGAAGAAATAGTTCCAAATTGGCCTATAAAGTTTGCCAATTTGACCTCTGGTTTTTCCTTTATCTTATTCTCTCTGTTCAGTGTTATGTTAAATAACCAAGTAATTGATTGTCTTCATGCCAGTGCCAGATGAGGAATAAACCAATAAAGAATCTACACATGCCATCATTAGTGAATTTTAAACCAATAACTGGTTCAAGAGGCATCCCTCCCCTGCCCCCAGCTTTTCATTTACAGAGGTTAAGGGAGAGTACAAGAGGAAAGTTTGTGTAATCTTGGCGTAAATGCACTACTTAGAGATAAAAGGAGTATGACTTGAGAGATAAGAAGATTGTCTCTTTTCAGTTCAGTTCTGTTGCTCAGTCGTATCTGACTCTGAGACCCCATGGACTGCAGCACATCAGGCTTCCCGCTCCATCACCAACTCCTGAAGCTTGCTCAGACCTCATGTCCATTGAGTCAGTGATGCCATCCAACCATCTCATCCTCTGTCATCCTCTTCTGCTGCCTTCATTCTTTCCCAGCATCAGGGTCTTTTCTAATGAGTCAGTTCTTCATATCGGGTGGCCAAAGTATTGGAGCTTCAGCTTCAGCATCAGTCCTTCCAATGAATATTCAGGACTAATTTCCTTTAGGATTGACTAGTTGGGTCTCCTTGAAGTCCAAGGGACTCTTAAGAATCTTTTCTAGCACAATGGTTCAAAAGCATCAATTCTTTGGTGCTCAACTTTCTTTATGGTCCAACTCGCACATCCATACATGACTACTGGAAAAACCGTAGCTTTTACTAGATGGACCTTGGTTGGCAAAGTAATGTCTCTGCTTTTTAATATGCTGTCTAGGTTGGTCATAGCTTTTCTTCCAAGGAGCAAGCGTCTTTTAATTTCATGGCTGCAGGCACTATCTGCAGTGATTTTGGAGNGAATGAAAACTGACCTTTTCCAGTCCTGTGGCCACTGCTGAGTTTTCCAAATTTGCTGGCATATTGAGTGCAGCACTTACACAGCATCATCTTTTAGGATTTGAAATAGCTCGACTGGAATTCCATCACCTCCACTAGCTTTGTTTGTAGTGATGCTTCCTAAGGCCCACTTGACTTTGCATTCCAGGATGTCTGGCTGTAGGTGAGTGATCACACTATAGTGGTTATCTGGGTCATTAAGATCTTTTTTTGTATAGTGCCTCTCTGTATTCTTGCCACCTCTTCTTAATATCTTCTGCTTCTGTTAGGTCAGTACCATTTCTGTCCTTTATTGTGCCCATCTTTGCATGAAATATTCCCTTGGTATCTCTAATTTTCTTAAAGAGATCTCTAGTCTTTCCCATTCTGTTGTTTTCCTCTGTTTCTTTGCATTGATCACTTAGGAAGGCTTTCTTATCTCTCCTTGCTATTCTTTGGAACTCTGCATTCAGATGGGTATCTCTTTCCTTTTCTCCTTTACCTTTCGCTTCTCTTTTCTCAGCTATTTGTAAGGCCTCCTCAGACAACCATTTTGCCTTTTTGTGTTTCTTTTTCTAGGGGATGGTTTTGACCACCACCTCCTGTACAGTGTCAAAAACCTTCATCCACAGTTCTTCAGGCACTCTGTCTGTCAGATCTAATCCCTTGAATCTATTTGTCACTTGCACTGTATAATCGTAAAGGATTTGATTTAGGTCTACCTGCATGGTCTAGGGTTTTTCCTACTTTCTTTAGTTTAAGTCTGAATTTTCAGTAAGGAGTCACAGTCATCTCTTGGTCTTGTTTTTTCTGATGGTATAGAACTTTTCCATCTTTGACTGCAAAGAATATAATCATTCTGATTGCGGTATTGTCCATTTGGTGATGTCCATATGTAGAGTCATCTCTTGTGTTGTTGGAAGAGGGTGTTTACTCTGACCAGTGAGTTCTCTTGGCAAACTCTGTTAGCCTTTGTCCTGCTTCATTTTGTATTCCAAGGCCAAATTTGCCTGTTACTCTAGGTATCTCTTGACTTCCTATTCTTGTCTCTTTTAGAAGCTGAAAGGACTTTTTTCTCTTTTAGAAAAGAAGAAAAAGGCAAGAGTCTGAAGGGCAATGGAAATCTGTTAAAGATGGAATGTTTCAATGGTAGCTATTGAGAGAATATATCAAAAGAAATAATAAATTGAAACCCAGGTCTTTTCTGTTTAAAGGAGAACATCTAGTTACTTAGTCTAGAAGTAGTGCAAAGACTGTAATTTATAATCCATATCAAGACCATTTTTGAAAGTGAAAGCAGTTGCTCTTGATAATGTGCTGGAACAGCAGATGTAGGTCAAAGGGTATAGTCATCCTGGCCAGTAGCCATTTGGTAAAAGAATGCAAAACACATTCTTTCTCCCTAGATTTTTAGTTCAACAGTGGCCCCTTCTGGTCAGTTGATTAATACACAAGCCTGGATTTTCCAAAGACTTGGGGTTAAAACATAGAGAATTGAGAGGTTGGGGTCCTGGGGAAATGCTGAAGAGAGCAAGAGGCACATCGGGGGCTAATCCAAGAAAGTTCAGAGTGATTTGGCCTAATATAGATGTTTAACTGCTGGCAAATAGCCACTCAGTTAACAGCAGTCTGTCCTACTGCCAGTATCCAGGAAATGTGTTTACTGAGGTAAATCTCCCTCATCTCACTTTGCCCTTGTTATATACTAATGGCAAAGAAACACCAATACAATATTCTCAAGTTTTATATTCTATCTGTTGTCTTTTAGGATCAAATAAAGTGAGATCATAACTATTCTGGACTTGTTTAGAAAAGAAAGAAGTGTGTTGGTTACTTCATGGTCATGATTTCTAGGATGTTGAAGAGAGATTATACTACTCAGATTGGGCAGGGTGTTGCTTTGTTTTGTAGGTGAGGAAATTGATACTTAAATAGATTAAGATTACATAGCAATGTAGCTTGTTGGCAAGCTTAAGCTATAACTTTTTCATACTCCCAAATCCATCATATTACTTCTCCGTTTTTTGTTGTATTGGTGTATTTATTTTATTTACAAATTTTACTTCCTATAAAATCAATGTGTTCCCATGATCTAACATTGAAAAAGGACACAGAGTGAAATGTCTTTCTTCTCACTACTATCTCACATCCACCTAGTATCCCTTTTGCAGGCCACCAGTATTACCAATTTCCTATGGATATCTAAGCAAATAATATGAGCAAAGTCTTCCCACAGTTTTAGTGGGTGGATCATGTCACAGTCAGTCTTCCAATGAAGTTTAGGTTGTTTCCAAATTTTTGCTATTACAAACAGTGCTGCAATGAATAATGCAATCTGCATACATATTTACAAGCATACCCGTGAGATAAATTTCTAGAATTGGAATAGCTGGGCTAAAGGGTATAAACATTTGTCCTTTGTCTTTTGACAGATATTGCCTAATTTCCTTTCTTAAAAGTTATACCAGTTTATATTTCTATCAGCAGTGTATGATTTCTCAGTTTAAAAACTATTCATTTATGGATAAAGCTATCTATAAAGAAAAGTCCATAAGCCTCCTGAGAACCAGTTTCCTCTCTTGATTCATTGTCCTCAAGGCAGGAAGGAGATGTATCTTACCCCTACTTTCAGTATGGTGTATTTGATAAGGCTCTAACCCTTCTTTCCAAAAATAACACAGATTCTCTTACTGTTCTTTTTTGCTGCTACAGTGAAACAACTCTTCTTTTATTCATGTAGTGGAAATAGGTTGCCTAGGACTCATTAGATTTATCATTTGAAGCATGATGAACTACTATATCAATTTCTTTCTCAATGTGTTTACTTGACTTTAGAATTAGTCTTGTACCCCAGGATATCATTTCCTGCCTTTTCTTTCACAGTCTACTACCACTAAAAATAAGTTGACAGTCATTTATTATTTTCAGTAATGGACAGAAGAGGAAAAGCTCTAATATAAAGTCCTAAAGTACTTATATATGATTTTCAAATATTTTCTATATCACTCTATACTGAGAATGTGTAACATATTCACTACCAAGGAGAAATGCTTGAAGAAATTCTATCTGTTACCACAGAGCAGATGGTGAGGGTGAATCTGGGACTGAGAAGCAATAGATTGATAACTGGTGCTTACCTTGCCTCTTTTTCAGTCTCACTCCTCTGGATCACTCTTTACTTTCAAAGCAAAGTATTTTATTTTCAAAGCAAAGTGTTAGTCATTAGTAATCACAGCAGCTTGAAAATGAGAGAGCAGGCAGCCAGAGTATAGTTTAATTATAGTCTGTTTAAACATAACTGAAGTTTAAATGTAAGCCAAAAATGATGATTTTAAAGTTTCAGATACGTCTCTTGTATAACTCTTCCCTTCACTTCTTAAATAACTTCAAGAAAAAATAATCAAGAAACCCAATTACCTGATCGATTTGATAAACCTAGGCTGATGAAGAGAGTTAGTGGCTATGATGCCAAGAGGGTCTGTAGAATTCTGTGGTGTTACTCCTTACAATACCCAAACACCCCAAATTAAGGTGAATAGCCAGAGAATGCCTTTAAAGGGAGTTGTGCAAGAATGGAACAGTCACACAGTGCCATTTCCATTTGTTAAATATGAGGTATTGAGATAGTGTGTTTGTCTGATAAATTCTTTCCTTTGGATATAGGTGAACGGCCTGTGAGAGTTTATGCAGATGGAATATTTGACTTATTTCATTCTGGTCATGCCCGGGCTCTAATGCAAGCAAAGAACCTTTTCCCTAATACATACCTCATTGTGGGAGGTAAGAAAACACCTGTTGACTTAGGTGCTGTCCAGAAAAAAATTACAGTAGCCTTTTTTCTCCTGTCTTTATAACCTGAGTACATTGACTCTTATTTTGGTTTTTAAATGAGGGATATAGTGTAGCCTCTTTATTAATTTATTTTTTTTTCCCATTTATTTTTATTAGTTGGAGGCTAATTACTTTACAGTATTGTAGTGGGTTTTGTCATACATTGACATGAATTAGCCATAGATTTACATGTATTCCCCATCCCTCTTTAAAATGTGAAGCATATGAAGAATATGAAGTAACTAAAACCTGAACTGTATAAACCTGGATTAGAGACGCTTTAAGCTCATTCACTTGAGATGTCTAGGATTTATCTCACTGGTTTTGGCTGGTTTCTGCAGTCTGATCCCCTAGTGCCTACTTAAAAATAGCATTTACTTTAGATTTCAGTTTATCATCCTAACACGACTCTGTATGTTTGTATGTGTACTGTGCATGCTTGATTGTGTGACTTTGTGACCCTGTGGACTCTGGCCCACCAGGCTCCTCTGTCCATGAAATTTTCCAAGGAAGAGTACTGGAGTGGGTTGCCATGCCCTTCTCCAGGGGATCTTCCCAACCCAGGGATCAAACCCACATCTCTTGCATCTCCTGGCATTGGCAGACAGATTTTTTACCACTGCACCACCTAGGAAGCCCCTCAGTTTATCATTCTGAATCAGCTGAAGTACAAAAGTCTGCTAAGCAAATGTTATGTGGTCCAATCCAAGCTAATAGGGCTTCACTGGTGGCTCAGATAGTAAAGAAGCTGCCCGCAATGTGGGAGACCAAGCTTTGATCCCTGGATCGGGCAGATCCCTGGAAGAAGGGAATGACAACTCATGCCAGTATTTTTGCTTAGAGAATCCCATGGACAGAGGAGCAACCTGGTGGGCTACAGTCCGTGGGGTCACAATAAGTCGGACATGACTGAGCAACTGACACTTTCCAGTTTAATAGGAAAACATTTTTTTAAAACTGTTCATTGATGCACAAATGTACAGTAGGTTCATTTCAAGCCAAAGAACTTATTCTTCTGTTGTATCCTCTCCTTTCCAGCGTGTGAACATATTGAGTGTTGCTCCCGAAGGTGTATCTTGGATTAGGGAAAGCATTGTTATCCAGACTGAGCTACATTTAAAATACTGTTATCCAAGTGGGGTGATTGGTTACAATCCTAGGAAATGGTAGAGGTTGGTGACCGAGGTAGAGGGGACTTTGACTTATACCCTTATGATGTGGTGAACTCAGTTTGCAGTGATGAGCTAACACACAACTTCAAAGGCTTCACCGTGATGAATGAAAATGAGCGCTATGATGCAGTGCAGCACTGCCGCTATGTGGATGAGGTGGTGAGGAATGCCCCCTGGACCCTGACACCAGAGTTCCTGGCAGAACACCGGGTAAGAAACTGAGTACATGTTCCCATTCCCTGTTTTATAATTCCCTCAACTTTGAAGGCTTCTGGTACTTGGGCTAGTTTTCCACTAGCTTTATTTTACTTCTACCTTCTCTGTAAATTTAATATAGAAGAGATGATGATGTTATTACTTCTTTTTTTTTTTTATGTTATTACTTCTAATAATAGTCATCCCTGACATTTTTATTGGATTTGATAGTTTAGAGGTGCTTTTACATCCATTATATTTCATTTGTTCCCCACAAAAGTCCTGTTGGGTAGTTATTAGTTATTTCCACTTTACATATGAGAACAGGGCCAGAGAGGTCAAATAACTAGGTTATACTCTGGCAGGGCTAGAAATTGAACCTCTTCAGCTTTGGAGTCTACGCACCCCCACCCTTTCCCCCATAGGTGTGTCCATCCTCATAGCATACCAGCCTCTTTAGAGTATACCTAGGCCCAGCCATGCTCTCAGTTCAGTTCAGTCACTTAGTTGTGTCTGACTCTTCGCGACGCCATGGACTGCAACACACCAGGCCTCCCTGTCCATCACCTTCTCCTGCCGCCTTCAATCTTTCCCAGCATCAGGATGTTTTCAGATGAGTCAGTTCTTCTCATCAGGTAGCCAAAGTATTGGAGTTTCAGCTTTAGCATCAATCCTGCCAGTGAATATTTAGGACTGATTTCCTTTAGGATGCACTGGTTTGATCTCCTTGCAGTCCAAGGGACTCTCAAGAGTCTTCTCCAACAGCACAGTTCAAAAGCATCAATTCTTCGGTGCTCAGCTTTCTTTATAGTCCAACTCTCACATCCATACATGACTACTGGAAAAACCATAGCTTTCAGTAGGCAGACCTTTGTTGGCAAAGTAATGTCTCTGCTTTTTAATATGCTATCTAGGTTGGTCATAACTTTTCTTCCATGCTCTCAAGGAGCTCACATTCCAGGAAATAAGATACAGAAACATGGACTTATCTTGTACTGGCTTAAATTTAGTTTCAAGACTTTTAATTTCAGGCTAGAAATTATGTGGGGTCAGAAACCAAGGAGGTTTCTCACTTTGTCTCAGTGAGTTGGTATTATAAAAATCCTTATCTCCTTTTTATTTTCCCATATTAAAAAAGCAGATTTCCTACAAAAGATGGGATTATAGCTGAGAAGAACTTGCCAGGTCAGGCTGGAGGCCCTCAAGCTTGAGGAACCAGCAAGCATGTTGTCAGTTGTCTACAGTAGTGTGTAGAATGTTGAAAGTAAATTGTCCAGTGAGACAGGAAAGAACAAAAGTAGCCAAAGTGCTCCAAAAGCAGTATTTGGGTAGGCCTGAAGCTAAGGGATAATTGTTACAACTATTTAGGATTAGGGCAGACCTTTATAGTTCTGTAGCTTTTCTGCATCATCATTTAGCAGCCAGTGGTACCAAAGGTGAAGAGCAAGATTATTCTCAGCAACACAGCCAGGCAGGCCCAGGCAGAAGAGGTTAGAGGGACTCTCAGATTCCCTTTTCTCTCCTTGTTAGTAGTATATCGTCAGTCACGAGTCTGTCTCGCTCACCATTCTTATTTTCACTTTGCTGCCTTTGTGTCCCTGACAAATTGTTCATGGGTAATTGATATGTTAGCTGAGAGTTCCTGACATAGTCCTGATGAGCATAACATTACAATGGCTTCTGGGAGCTGGGTATGGTGGTATTAGCAATTATATTAACAAAGGAGATATGGCCTATTCAGGATGGAGTAAATAAATGAGGTTTAGAAAGATTGTTGATCCCAGTGCAAGAGGTATTAACAGTAGTAAATAGATCTGAGACCTAAAGTTCTTTTATGGGGCTCTTGGTTGCTATTTTTATATTGCCACTTATCTCACAGACTTAGAGAAAAACCAGTTAACAAAGAAGTGACTTCTTTCTCATATTTTTAGAAACCCTGTTTGACCAGTTCTTGTAGAGCCAGGAGGATAGGGAGGTTTCTTTTCTTCTTTTCTTGACTCCATCCACTAGCTAGCATACCAGAAAATCTTCCAGGCCTATTTCTCACCCATGGTGACTGGTATTCAGTGTGAGGGTAGCACTTCCAGGAACCAGGAGGAGCAACTAGAAAAGAAACTGGCTACCTTCATGTTTATGATCCATAAACAGTTAGGTTGGATCACTTGTAAAAGAATCGTGAAATTTATGAGCTGAGCAAGGAGAGACAAAGAGAAAAGTTCATTTGAGGCCTGGCTTCACCTTGTGGCCCTTTTTCTGGGCCACAGAGTGTTGCCTGGTTCTTTCTGAGTAGCACTTATCCTGAGTTTTAATGATGTTTCCTTATTTTCAGATTGATTTTGTGGCTCACGATGACATCCCTTATTCTTCTGCTGGGAGTGATGATGTTTATAAGCACATCAAGGAAGCAGGTGAGTAAGCTGATGTGCATCCTCATTTTATGGAGTCTTGGGAACAATGACATATTCAATCACATCACTACAGAGGAAAATTTATACAGTGAGAAATTCAACATCCACTTTTAGGTCACATTTTGGATAAGAGGTTAAAGTGAGTATAGCATCATATCCATCAGTTCTCAGTCTAAACATCTACTTTTGTTATCTCTTTTAATTTCAAGAAACCCTTCTTCAGCCCCATTCTTTTCTTAATATTAGGACCTTTCCTTACTCCTAACCCTTGATTCAGTCTTCCTTTTGTATGTCAGCATCTCAGACTGTACTTAGTAATAGCAGACTCTGCTTTTTGAGGATAGGAGAGGACTGTGGCTCCCAGTTTCCATCTAGTCCTACTGCCTGAGCTATTCAGAGTATCACAGTGTTTGTGTTTTTGGGTTAGGCATGTTTGCTCCAACACAGAGGACAGAAGGTATCTCCACATCAGACATCATCACTCGAATTGTCCGTGACTATGATGTGTATGCCAGGCGGAACCTCCAGAGGGGCTACACAGCAAAGGAACTCAATGTCAGCTTTATCAATGTAAGTTCTAACCTCATCCCAGAGTTCCCTGGCCCTGTAGCACATGTTGCCTCTCACTTTGTCTAAGTTAAACTTGCTCTTCGATCTACTCTTATTATCACCTCCAAAAGCTCAGTGGATACCTCTTTGCACATAGTACTATGCCAGGCTTTTTACAAAGAGCATTTGGATGTATCTGTTCTATAAAAAGAAGCATTATCTGCCTTTATGGTCTGGTATCACAACATTGATATAAGGACATACAAGCAATTAAATAAGAATGTGTAACTTACAAAGTACAGTGTTTATATCAAATACATTTAAAACAGTGGTTCTTAACTTTTTTTTTTATTGTATGGTCTTTATAAATCTGATGAAAACTGTGGATCTTCTCCCTGTGTGGATAGTAACACACAACATTTTGCATGCAACTTCTCAAGGCACATGGAACTAACTTTTAAAATTTGATTTATGAAAGCAAGTTTATCTTAACATTGCCCTTAGAAACAAACTGCTATACATTTTGTATATAAATTATACCTCAGTAAAGTTGATTTTAAAAGAAGAAAGCTGCTGTGTCTTCTATATGTGAGTAATTTACCACGCTCCCTCATTTGTTCCCAGCTCTGTGAATTATGAATGGGTAAAATGGTTTCATCTAAATTGATTTATCTGTGCAGATAAATGCTGGCTGCTGTTAACAACCTTGCTGTTGTTACACTGCAGAATTTATTTTCAGGTGTTTAAGAATCTTAAACATACTCCCCTTCCCCTTTATGATCTGAAAATGAGAACACTTTTCATTTGGCTAAAGACTCCTTCCCTCCCTTTGGGAGAGTTCATACCATTTTTCTCTTATTTTTAGGGAAGCTGACAGGACCAATGAGTATCATCCTTATTTTGCGAATGAGCAAACAGACCTCCAGATGTTTAAAAAAAAAAAAAAATGAAACTCCTCTGTAGTCATAGAATAAGACAGTGATGGAGGGAAAATTTTAGCGTAATAAATGAATTAAGTAAAAGGTCTGCTACTTTCTTTTTCAACCTGTTAGAGTTGACTTGTTGTTGGCAATACTGTACAGTGATCTTGTTGCTCCCTCCCTATACATATACATCTCCGTCTAGAATGGGGTTTTGGGTTTTGTTGGGCATGTATATCTTCCAAGTTAATATTTTGTCTTAAAAAATCTGAGTTTGTTTGGTATATGCCAGTCTGTTACTGGGCTTACCCTGTGCATTTAGTTTAGTCCTGGGCTCTACAACCTTAGAATTATTACACTTTTACATAAGATGACCATCCAGAGCTTATCGTTTCTGTTACAATGCTAAGGAAGTATGGGATATATTAAAGTAAAGTGAAATTCTCAAGACCGAAAGGAGTGTCTAAATAGAGTACCAAACCAAGTCTTTTTCTTCCCCTTGGTATGGATGGTCAGAGTGAGTATTATTTCTCAAAACAGTTATTTCTTTATTCAGGAGAAGAAATACCACTTGCAGGAACGAGTTGACAAAGTAAAGAAGAAAGTGAAAGATGTGGAGGAAAAGTCAAAAGAATTTGTTCAGAAGGTGGAAGAAAAAAGCATTGACCTCATTCAGAAATGGGAAGAGAAATCCCGAGAATTCATTGGAAGTTTCCTGGAAATGTTTGGTCCAGAAGGAGCCCTGGTATGTTCCTTCCTGCTGGGCAATTTAGGGAAATTCAGGAAAATCTTATGCTGTGAAAGGAACTATAGAATCCTTGAGCAGAAAGGGACATTGACAATAAGAAGTTATCTAATATGTTCCCTTTATTGGGCAGAACTATATTTCAACTATCTCCAGAAAGGTTTTAAAAATCTTTACAGAAAGTGGTTATACATTCTCCTAATTTTGCCAGCTCTCTATAAACCTCCAAATATGGTGACAAGTGAGTAACCTTGCCTAGCTTGCTTCTACATTACAATTTTGGATAGAAGGAAAGGAAAGAGCAAAGAACAGTTTAAAAAAAAAAAAAACTGCCTCCACTACAAGCAGCCACTGCAGGATTGCTGGGTAAGGTGGGAATTCTGTCCTTGAGGAACAGGAATATAGAATTTTCAGAGAACCCCCAAAACTAGGGTAGGTACTCTTTTGTCTGAGTTAATTCCTTTGTTTTTGCCTAGAACCTAGACTTCAGACCAACAAGTAGCCTTTTAAGAATTCCTTTGACATAGAAGTCAAAGATTGGGTGACAGTGGATAGCAGGTGGGAACCCTTAGACATGTAGTATAGCATAATCACTTTGACTGAGAAATTGCTTAGAATTGTATCTGTGGCTTACTTGGTCACTTTTGACATTACAGAGGGCACTCAGGATAATTTGAAGTCTCAGATCTCCTCCATTGGTTAGTAGGATCCATAGGTTTCTTCTAACTCTTCCTTTTGGTTTCCCCAGAAACATATGCTGAAAGAGGGGAAAGGCCGGATGCTGCAGGCCATCAGTCCAAGGCAAAGTCCCAGCAACAGCCCCACTCGTGAACGTTCCCCCTCTCCCTCTTTCCGGTGGCCCTTCTCTGGCAAGACTTCCCCGCCTTCCTCCCCAACAAACCTCTCCAGACACAAGTCTGCAGCCTATGATATCAGTGAGGATGAAGAAGACTAAATTTTCATCTCTCCTTTCTCCTCCCCTCCCTCTGTCCCATCACCTTCAGAAGCTCTCTGTTGAATTCCAGATTGTGATCCCAACACTAATCCTAAGGACAGCTACAAAGGAAAGACAGTTGGGGCAAGAGGACTTAGGATGGGGGGACAGACAGCCTATCCTCGGAAAGACATCACCCACCCCAAGAAGGAGGCTAACTACATCTTAGATGCCTGTTCTGCATTCATATACCCTCCCCGTGGACTTTGCTTTACTGTTTATGTTCATGTGCTCTTGACAGGGAAATTGTCATTTTTATTAATTTTTTAAAAATTAGTCTTTCAAATGTAGTAAGTAGAACTAATTTTTTGCCCCCGAGGAGTGGGCAGAAGGAAGTGGTGTAATACCCAGAGGCCTTTTCTTCCTGATACACCATACTGTTTGCCTTTTATTCTCAGGCAAACTGTCTTGCCAACTCCTTCAGGCTGTGAGCCATGGGTGCCTGATGGGTGATTTGGAGGGGAAATATCATAATCTTGGTTTCCTTTTTTAAAAAAAGCTAAAAGCTGAGTAATAGCCACAAATCCCCAATGTATACTGCTGGCACGTGGTCCGTGTGGCTGAGGGAAGAAGGAGATCTGAGTCTGACTTTTCTTACTCCCTGAGGAGTTTCTTGTTGGACCCAATGGGGTCCATGAAGACACTGATGGGGATGGAACCAGACCACATGGCATCAGCTGCGGTTTCTACACTGTGTTCATCTCTCAGAAAACTCTGTTGCCCAGTTATTTGGGAGCTGTTGTCAATCTCTTTTTTGTAATCTTTAAATTCTTCCTACCTTTAAAGGGAGGAACACTTTCAGGTTTACTCTGATTGAGGAGGGGAGTTGGACAATACTCAATCCTATACAAAGTCAGTTTAATTTTCCTCTGGGAGTAAGTCCCTGGCCCTACTAATCCTATCTTAATACTCGTTTCCTAGCTTTTTACAAAAGATACTTTGTAAATGTCTGCAGTTTGAACATGATCTGTTAATCCATGTTGCTCATTAACCATATTGAATATTGAGAGAGGTTTGCAGAGAACATAGGTGCAAATGCATATGGAAACGCACCCCTTTTTAAAGCCTTATCTTGACCTCTTCCCCTTGTAATAGTATCCTTGACTGGAACCAGTGCTTCATGAGGTGTTTCTTTTTCCTAGGGAGTTGGCATCTGGCAGGGACTCCCGTCACTGCCCCTCTAGCAAGTCACCAGTGGCTCATATTACAAGAGTGTGGTAGATTCCCTCCCTCTCTCTCTGCCTGCTCCCATCTCCCCTGTTATGTTGCCCAGGGGATTCACCACTTAAATTTCACATCAGAGAATGCTGAAGCTTAAGCACTTGGTGTTGAGCATGAGCTCCTTTTCAACTTGTAGCATCCTACAGCACATGACCTAGCAGATCATTATCTATCATAATCCTAATCCTTATCATATCATAAGGTTCAGGGGAAATTTGCATCTGTCCAGGGCCCATCTCATCACTCATCAATACCCCTTGTAGGGGTGGAGTTTTAGTGTTTTCAGCTAAGAGAACCACATTTTATCTTTCCTTGCCTCTCTGCTAAGGTTGTGAGCATCTCATAGTCCCCTTGCTGAACACTTTCTGGTAAAACTTGCTCTTATGCCTGAGGGCCAGTGGCTCGAGTTACTGCCTGCCTGCACAGCAGGACTACCTAGGTTCTTAAAACTCAGATCATCCAGAGAAACAGAGTGCAGCAGAGTAGAGGAATAAACAGGGTGAACCTCTTGCTGTCCTGATGGCCCATGAAAATAACATTTCTAACTCTTTTCATGAAGTGCTATTTTTACTATCAAATCTAGTTTACACAGGCTTTGACTTGGAATCCTTTTTTTGGAACTGTTGAAGTTAATGTTTTCCAATACCCAGCTTTGTAGGGTCACATATTTTAACTTTTCTGCTTCATTCTACCCTTTTTGGGAATTCTGCCCATTTCTGTTGATAGAAAAATGTGAAATCACCACTGAAACCCACCTACATTTTCTCTCAAAATACATGTTGTCCAAGTATATTTGGAAAGGGAGGCAATCAGAATGTGATTTTCCTCCGTGCAGTCACTCCTCACAGGTATTGTCTGGGTCCCAAGTGTTTGGCCTTCTTCCTCTGCTGTGTAGATGGGCTGCTTTTGGCATATCCTGTCCTTGGAGTATGACCTCTAGGCTAACAACCTCCATGAGACTGCTAGCCTGGCATGTACATGTATTGTCAGAAAACTCTCACCCCTTCTGGTGAGCCTGTCTGGCCTCAGTCTCCTAACACAGTATATCTCCATGAAATTTTGACTGAAAGCAAAAAACTTTATGGCATGGCATACTAGGTACTTTGGGATAAATGTGATCCTATGTGCTGGACAACGGTGGGTGGGTGGAGGAAGTTGGGATGATGCATTATTTGATCATTTGTGCCTAATTACCTGAGGTTAGAGGTTTGCATTCCACAACCATGTGTGTGATCTGTAAATCTTTAAATATTGTTGTTAATATTAACTTCTAACATTAATTTTAATAATACTTAAACCCTAAATTGCACAAGCAAAGCTGTCAGCCTGAATAGGCCAAATGTGGCAGAAATGGGAGAGCCTTAAAAGTTGGTTGGCCTTATAGCCTTTCTCTGTAATAGAAGGAGAAGGGAGACAGAAGCCTTGTAGCCAGTGCTGAGGAGGTGCCATTTCATCAGTTACCTTGAGATGAGCTGGGCAGAAAGTTTGTTTTTTTCATACACTAGACTCCGCAGCACTGAAGGGTAGAGGTTGAAATTTTAGAGGAATAGACATGGGTCGTTTGTACTGTTCCAGCTGCTTCTGATCACTAGAGCCAAAGACCATTATTTTGCTGAGGCTTGGGTAAGAAGGTTGGGTAAGAAGGTGAGGAGGTTGAAAGTCGTGAATAAGAGAAAAAATTTGAGGGAGGTCAAGAGAGCTTTTCACCTTTTCTGATCACTGATAACATCGCAGGCAGCACCTGAGTTACATTTTTCTTATTTGTGACCACACAGCTGTCCAGAAAGTCTTTGAATATTCCCTCTACAATGATTCTTCACAGTGCTTTTTATTCTTTCTTGATTTATGGGCAGTTTTTGTTTTTCTGGAGCTCATTGCCTTATTAATCCTGTTTCAGACCCTATATCTAAAAATCTTTCCAAATCAAGTCTATTTTGCTGCTTTTGTTTAATTTCCTAAAAGCCATAGCTTTTACATATTCTGTCAGCAAACTATCACCAGAAGTTGAACCAATGCAGGTAGGAGAAAAGCTCCTTTAACAATGTTTTTAACTAATGGTATTTTTTTCAAGCTTATCAATATAAGTATTTTTAAAGTTATATTTTTCAAGGTCATAACGATGATTGTTCTTGTTTTCTCTCATGGAATAGATTGTCATGGGATAAAGACTGGTCCCTAGCTATTATTTTTGCAAATAAGTAGAACATGTTTTGGGGATTATACAATTAAATGTTAATTTTCTTTAAAAGAAAGAAGAAATATTCTGTCTGCCAAAGTTTAATGTTAGTACTTAGATTGGGGTAGAAAACAAAAGTAGTTGGTTTAACATTAAAATGATTCCAGTTCTGTTTCTTAGCTTTCAAGTGGGCTTTCCCACCATTCTTAGGGAGACACTGACTGTTTTGAACACAGAGACTTGATTGGTTGAGTTGTTTTGTTTTGTGGATCCTGAGAAGAAAGAGTGTTGGAAAGAAATACTGGCCTTGGCATGAATGTTGGCCCCATCACCAGTGCTGGTTTCCACAAGGACGTTTTCCTCAATTGGTGTTCAGTTTATTTTTTTCCGGTCTGAGTGTTATTAAATTGTTATTGTTCAGTTATTTTGGCTTTTGTCATTAGCCAAATAAAGGCAAAGTGATTTTACCTAATGTTCCATTTTATATGTTTTGACCTGGTATACACATGTATGATATATTTTATGTGTTTGAGACTTTTTACCTGTATGATCAATTCCTTGACTTTTGCATCCTAATTTGTCTCCTCAGAGTCACTGCATGACCATATCATTGCAATTCCTTTTGCCGCTTGGTACAGAAGACTCAAAAAGCCACTGGCCCACAAAGGGAGGCTGATCTAGATCGCCCAGGTCTAATGTCATCAGCGCCCTACTGACACATCTGTAAGGGAAGAAAACAACTTCCATCTGTTCTTCAGAAGCCTGGTTTCTTTGAGACTTTGGGTTCATACTGTTTTGCCTGGCTGAGTTCTATTCCTGTTACTATACCAAGAAAACTGTCATACACTCTTCTCCCTTTCATTTGCTTTGGGAAAGCTCAGAGTAACCTTTTAATATACAATCTTGATGGGCTAATAGTGGCACCCATGGAGGCAATGTGCCCAGTTGTAGAAAATCAAACTCCATCCTGTTTATTAAGCTTAAAATACCTTCCTCAGGCAAGATCCAAAACAATTTCATCCTATTGCATAGTTCTCATTCATCTCTACAGTCAAGCATACATCATTTGCCAGCTTGCACTGACGATAGAATTGGTCCCCATTTGGTCAAGGTTGAAGAACAGTAAAGAAACCTTGTACCCATCTGATGAATACAGTGTCTCTTTCATTGTCCAAGCCATTCACCTCAGGCTTTGAGGTTCACATCCTGGTCTGGAGAAGAGAAAGGCTCATATCCAACCTTGTCATCTTTCCTTCGGTAGTATATTCGTGTCAGCACAGTGATCAGAAAACTCTCGAGGATGAGGAGGTGGCAGTTCATCACTGTAGCATGGGACAAAATATAGGTTATTCTAACTTACAGAGGTGGTATCCCATTAGCAGTCCTGGCATATGAGTTGGACAGCAGTTTCTCTTAATTTATCCTCAAACCAGAACCTAGAGATATTAAGTTGTTACCAGTAACATGGCAAGTTAACAGTAGAGCCAGAACCAGAACTTGGCTCGTTACCTCCTGAACTTTGAGGCTAGCATTGAACATTTCTTTTGCATGTTTTATCATGACCCTCTGCTTCCTAACCACACCTATTCCTCTTCAGGAGCTGAGGATTGAACCTGGCTTCCTGGGTTGATCATCAGGGCTGGGCCTCAAGCTGCAGGATTGCAGCTGTCTGTGTGATCAGAGAGGTCACAGACTCAGAGCCTCTGCTAGATTTCTTGGAGGTCTCTTTCTCAGTACTCTGAGCAGAACACTCTGATTATTCTGAGAGTGGCTAGCCCTACTTCCAATCTAAGATCCTCTCTTCTCGGACCTACCCCTCCTGCCCATCCTGGAGTAGACTAGGAACCCCCATGAGCTTACCTTGAGACCTGGTTTTAGAAGAAAAGGGAGGCGAACAAGCAATCTGCCCACCATTGGCCAAGACTGAGAAGATGGATGGCTGCAGGGCAGACAGAATAAGGAGTGCCTGCAGAACAGAAAAGAGGAGTGAGGGTGGGGGCTTTGCATCCCTGGCATGAGGCTGGCTGGCCTACTGCTGTGTTTGAAATGTGTCTCAGTGCTTGCCCTCTCTGAGTACACTTTTCTGCTGCACAGCCTCTTCAGGGTAGACTTGGCTTGTCCAGGCTTCCCTCCAATAATCATGGGCAGGTTCATTAATCACAAGGCTTTTATTCTGTGTCCTGACCCGAAGTGCTTCTGGAGCCCAGATCCTTTCTGTGCCCTGTCAGTCCGTTATTCCATGGTAGGCTCTTCTGTCTTCTGTCTTCCTACAGACCCTCCACTTCTGCCTATCATGTGCCTGTGAGCAGCATCTGCTTAGGTCAAATGAGAATTTATGTGAAATTAATCTGTTAACTATAAAGGAATCATTGTGCCTTGGGAATAGGAGAAGTGGCCCAGCAAGAAGACAGACAGAATGGAGAGAGAAGAGAAACAATATGGGGCTAGAAGTCATTGCATTTGGTGGAAAGGTTATCTCTTGGCTTAGAGAATGGAAAGTGTAAGAAGTGAACAGATGTGCCTTTGAGAGAATTCTCAGGAAAGATGTGATGATGCAGAGGCAGTGAGATGAGAAGAAGGGATGTAGGTTTGGGAGTAGGCAGTTATACATTTAAATTCCAGTCCCATCCCTTACGTACCTTTGAGCAAACCCCAGAACACCTGTTTCTCATTTGTAAAATAGAAAAAACAATGATTCTGAAGATTATAGTGAACTTTAATTAATGTATGAAAAGTGCCTAATATGTAGTACTGGTCATTCATAGTTGTAACTGTGATAATTCTGATGTTTCTAGTGGTGATGAATTGCAAGATTTTTAGAAGTAATGGGTAGTGAAGAAAAGAAAACAGCAAAGGTATAAGAATTTAAGGTTTAAAAATACATGTGTTATGGGCTTCATTGTGTCCCCCTAAAAGATGCATTGGAAGTCCTAATGCCCAGGACCTCAGAATGTGACCATCATTGTCTTGGTAACTGATTAGATGTAATTAGTTAAGACGAGGTCATACTGAAGTAGGGTGGGTCCTTATTCCAATATGACCGGTGTCCTTATCAGAAAAAGAGACACAGACATGAGGGGAGAATGCCCTGTGATGAGCCAAGGATGCCAAGGATTGCTGCAAACAATCAGAAGCCAGGAATAGTCAAGGAAGGGTTTGCCCCAACAGTGTTCAGTGGGCAAGTGGGCCGCTGACAGCTTGGTTTTGGACTTGAACTATGAGGCAATGCATTTCTGTTGTTTTAAGCCACCAAGTTTGTGCTATTTTGCTCCAGCAACCTTAGGAAACTGTTATAGCACAGAAAAGCAACAACTGTAGAAGGGCAGGGATTCTTTTCCACATCTCACAAGAAACCTAAGGCTTAAGAAGATTCCCAGACCCACTACTAGGCTTTATTAGTCTCAGCTCCTAACTCCTATGATTTGTGGCTCATTATTAACCATCTTTTCTCTCCCAGGGTATAGTTACCTGGAACAGAACAAATTTGGCTCCTATGTTCTGCTCGCCCAGGTGCAGCCTGGCTTGACGAAAAATGATGCCTATGGTCCACAGAGCCGACAGGGTGGACACACCGAGGAAAGTGTTGATCCATAGAGCTGTGCTCCCCTCAGAAATCTGGTGGCAGGCCAGAAAGCAGTCAGTGAGGAAGCAAGCCCCTTTCTCCTTTTTTTTCCTTTCTCCCATGGTGGGGAAAATAAAAAAGCTTCTTCTCTCCCCGTTAGAGTCCCTGAGCCTCTGCTTTTCCACGGTCGCCCTGTACCTGGGGCTATCCCAACCCTGAGGCCCTGAGTCAGGGGATATTGGCTCCAGCTATTCCTTCTGGAGCTCAAAGGAATTAAACTCATCTTGGCCTCTGCTGCCCCTTACTCTGGACTTACGTCTGATGGGTCAAAGATGCCATCAGGGATGAGAAACAGGCCCACCAGGCTCAGCGATATCTTGAAGAAGGCGTACTGGATGGGGCCCAACAGCAGCAGCTGAAGCCTCTTCCTGAAGTGGGAAGAGGGTTAGGAACATAGACCTGCAAATCACCCACCCACCAGAACTTCCAGCTCTCTCACTGGGTTCCTGGCAAGGCTTGGCCACCATCATAGACACCAACATAGTCAAGTGGGTGGGGACTCAGGAAGAGCATTGGGAACCGTCTTTACTGCCTCCCACTCACCCTCAGACCATAGTGATGCCTTTTGAGCAACAACTATCTGAGGATTGACCCCAACCTCATTAACTGAAATGGATGGAAAGGGAAAATAAATAGCCCAAAGTGCAATTTGTTCTCTGTGATAAAGTTTGTAGGGGACAGTGAGCGTAAGTGATGGGAACTCTGGAGTTCTCCTTCCTCTGTTCCTCCTACCCCTGTGTGGGTGCCCAGTGTGTGGGTCCTGGCTGTGGGATGCCCACCCTTTCATCACTGACTTTGTTCTATTCAAGCCAAATCCCATGAGGCTTGAAACAGGACTGAGAGAGTCAGCAGAGGCTCTTAAGAGAGTGCAGAAGAGGCCAATCTGCTCTTCCAGGCAGACTCTCCCTCCCATCTCACCTGGTGATCTTGATTCGGGGGCAGCAGGGGCAGCAGCAGCAGCAGGGGCCTGTATGGATCATCACCGGGGTGTCCTTCAGTGTCCTCAGTACTGCCTCCTTCCCACCAAAGCCTTCCACCATGGCCTGCATCAGCAGGTAAAAGCACATTGCGTAAAACCTGGAGTTGGGGGAGAGGTGGGAGGTGGGTCTGAGAGCACACAGAAGGGGAGGCGGCAGCAGCTGGTGGGATACCACTTGCTGCCAAAGAAAAACAGACTGCAAAAGGACAGGGAGAAGGGGGCTTCCTGAAGGGATCAGGTAGGGTCTAGGCATTTTGAGTGTGTGACTCAAGAGAAGTGAGAGAGAGGACAGGTGGAAGAGGGCAGGCTGTGAGAACAAAATGGTGCCCGAGATGCACTAGAAGTTCAAGAGACAAATTGGGAAGGGCTCGATTTGTGATCGGTTTTGTTTGCATGGATTTATGGAGGGGACGGGGGGTAAAAAAAAAAAGACAAACTCTGGATTCCCAGGGCTGAGAGGACCAGAAGGGGGACCCCAGAGAGATATCAAGTTCAGCTGGGGGCAGGGCAGGACACTCACGCAGTTATGGCCATTTCCACAAGTGTGAGGGCACGAGGAATCCAGAGACCAAAGCAGCAGAATGCAGACACTATCTGCTTGGAGAAATGCCAGGAGCTGGTTAGGGTAAGGAAGGAGACTGCATGCTCACCTTTTGTGGCAAGAGCTCAAGGAAGCAAAAGCTAAACACCTGAGGCACCATTATTTAAAAGTGACCAACTGGGGACTTTTCCTCATGGTCCAGTGGCTAAGACTCCAAGCTCCCAAGGCAAGTGGCCTGGGTTCATTCCCTGGTCAGGGAACTAGATCCCACATGCCACAACTAACACCTGGCACAGCCAAACAAATGTTTAAAAAAAAAAGTGACCGGTTGGAAAAAGAGCTAGTTAAATCAACTAATTAAAAAAAAATGTTTTTAAATTCAGCTGTCAGTTTATTCCTTGTCTAGGGTTAGAGACAGCAAGTCACCTTGAGTCAGAGGCTCTTTTGAAGACTATCTCTCAACATACGTCACTGGAGTAGGAATAGGTCAGTTCATCTTTAAGAGTACGTAGATCAAGATCCAACCCTTCCTTTTCAACATCCCATGTTATTAGAGCACCTCTGATGTCTTCAGATGGCCCAGGCAGATGTCATCTGGCAGAAAAGGACCTCAAGGGCTTTGTTCTTCACCCAAAACAGACACAGAGCTCACCACACGTAAAGAGGAACCCCATCTTGTGGCCTGTGAGCATGCCAAAGAGCTATCAAATGGCTGTAAGAGTGAGTTAGAAGGACTTACAACATGAGGGTAGAGTGAACATGACCCCATGGGAAAAAAATTACTCTCCTCCTACCCTCTGAGGAACCACTGCTGGTCTGTGCAGGAAGCAGGCTTATTTTAACAGCAACACAAGTAGCAGGGGAGTAGTGAGTGGGATAGCTGGTGGGCTCAGACCATTCTCCGGCTGTTCTTAGAGCTGTTTCTGTGGCTCTAAGATTTCAAACACTCCACCCCACTGACTGTGACCTCCCAAGCATGCGATCTTGACTGCAGATAGCAGACTAAAACCCCCACCCTAAAGTAGTAGAGGAAGGCAACTTGAATTACTGAGTTGAAAGGAATCCTCCTCTTCAGCCCCTCCCCAAAGACAGCAGCAGGACCCTCACCGTGGGTGAAGAGCTGCACCAGAGCAGGGTCTTCCTCTTGATAGGGCAGCGAGTGTTCTTGTGCACGTAGACAGCAGCCTCCAGGAAGATGGCTATTGAGCCCAGGACAAGCAAGGTCATGATGACCATGAGGGAAATTTCCATAGGGCCCAATGCTTGAGTGGAAAGAGAGGACAGACTCCAGTAAGCTGAAGACCAGGGCTGAGGAGCAGAAGATGTGGGCTTCCTCATATGCATCTAAATTGCTTTACCACATCTCGAATTACCTGATCTCGGCTTCCCTTCATGCAGAAGATGAGCTTTTTCTTAGACCTAGAATTTCCAACATGTGACTAAGAAATAGTCATTCTTCTGCATTCATGAGAGACTAGACCAGATCCATCTAAGTATGGTAAGGCTTACTTGAATCGGAATATAGACACTAGACAAGTTTGCACATAATGAACAAAAATTCTAAGTTCGGAGGTCAACAAGGGCCTATTCACTTTTCTCAGTGTCAGGGGTTATGCTAGCAGATGGACCAGTTAACATTATAATTAAAGCAGAATATATACTTCTGATATGTATCAGAATATATACTGATATACTTCAGTCACTCGTTGTGTTGTCCGACTCGTTGTGACCCCATGGACTGCAGCATGCCAGGCTTCCCTGTCCATCACCAACTCTTGAAGCTTGCTCAGACTCATGTCTATTGAGTTGGTGATGCCATCCAGTCATCTCATTCTCTGTTGTCCCCTTCTCCTCCTGCCTTCAATCTTTCCCAGCATCAGGGTCTTTTCAAATGAGTCAGCTCTTTGCATCAGGTGGCCAAAGTATTGGAGTTTTGGCTTCGGCACCAGTCCTTCCAATGGAGAAGGCAATGGCAAACCTCTTCAGTATTCTTGCCTTGAGAACCCCATGAACAGTATGAACTTGATATATTTAGAGATGTTTAAGTTTGATTTCGAAAATTTTGTCACTTTACTGGGGCACACAAAGGGACTTTTACAAAAGAAGTGGACCCAACTAAAGACTCTAAGGATATTTGACCTATGCTGGTCCCAAGTACACTTATTCTCACATTAAATGTAATCTAGTAGCTGTCTTTAGTGTTTATTGAAATCATTTGAGGAGTTGTTAAAAAGTAGCTGTCCAGACCCCCACTCCCTATACCCCCTGCCACCATCAATGCTATTCCCATAGATCTGGCATGTAATCTGTGTTTTAAACAAGCTCACCTGATAATAGAAGACAAACATTTTAACAAACACCAGTGAAGATCCTCTGGCCTCACCCTTGCTAACAGGAAAACACTAATATAGTCACAATATTTGTTTCTGAGCATGTTCTAATCAGTACAACAATGTTTTAAACGAAGAGTTCCATGTCCTTGGTAACTAAGCCTGGACCCTCATTTATCTAAGTCTCTTCCCTAGTTGGCAGACTCTTTCCTTTTAGCCTCCCAACTGGCTAGATGACAGAAGAAGCAGGGGAAGACTGGCAGAGTCCAGCCACTGTCCTATTGCATTGGGAGTAAAGGAAATCAACCCTGAATACTCATTGGAAGGATTGATGCTGAAGGTCAAATACTTTGGTCACCTGATGCAGTTAGCTGACTCATTGGAAGAAACCCTGAAGCTGGAAAAGATTGAAGGCAGAAGAAGAGGAGGGTGACAGAGGACGAGACGGCTGGATGGTATCACTGATGCAATGGACATGAACTTGGACAAACTCCAGGAGATAGTGAGGGACAGGGAGGCCTGGCATGCTGCAGTCCATGGGGTCGCAAAGAGTCTGACATGACTGGGTGACTGAGCAACAATGAGAGGATATTGGCTGGTCTGCCCTGTTTTGGTGACTGAGGGCAGCTCAGAGCTACTGACACCAAAACAAGGAAGAAGGAGACTACATCCCAGTGAAGACTTGAGTTGTCATCTGGATCAGTCATACTTGATGACATCACAAGGAGCAACCAGGACAAAGGTGAATTTGTCAAAAACTACTTTGATGCTTTTTTGGGGTCATTTATTTTTATTAGCTGGAGGCTAATTACTTTACAATATTGTAGTGTTTTTTTCCATACATTGACATGAATCAGCCATGGATTTACATATGTTCCCCATCCTGATCCCCCCTCCCACCTCCTTCCCCATCCCATCCCTTTGGGTCTTCCCAGTGCACCAGCCCTGAGCACTTGTCTCATACATCCAACCTGGGCTAGCGATCTGTTTCACACTTGATAATATACATGTTTCAATGCTATTCTCTTAGATCATCCCACCCTCGCCTTCTCCCACAGAGTCCAAAAGTCTGTTCTATACATCTGTGTCTCTTTTTCTGTCCTGCATATAGGGTTATCATTACCATCTTTTAAAATTCCATATATATGCATTAGTATACTGTATTAGTGTTTATCTTTCTGGCTTACTTCACTCTGTATAATGGGATGCTCTTGAACTGTGGTGTTGGAGAAGACTCCTGAGAGTCCCTTGGACTGCAAGGAGATCCAACCAGCCAATCCTAAAGGAAATCAGTCCTGGATATTCATTGGAAAGACTGATGCTGAAGCTGAAACTCCAATACTTTGGCTACCTGATGCAAAGAACTGACTCATTTGAAAAGACCCTGATGCTGGGAAAGATTGAAGACGGGAGGAGAAAGGGACAACAGAGGATGAGATGGTTGGATGGCATCACCAACTCGACAGACATGAGTTTGAGTAAGCTCCGGGAGCTGGTGATGGGCAGGGAGCCTGGCGTGCTGCAGTCCATGGGGTTGAAGTCCATGGAGTCGACACGACTGACTGAACTGAACTGAACTTTGATCCTGGTTGTTCCTATTTCAGGGCACGTGTTTTTGCTTGCTTTCTCCAAGAGGCCCTTTATCTCTGACCACAGTTAGGTCTGTGATCAATCCAGAGGACCTGCTGCAGGGAAGGCGGTCCTTGGACAATCTCCCTGCCTACACTTCTGAAGTCAGTGGTAAGCTTTTCCTTTCTGCTACAGGCCTCAAAAGACAAGACTGTGCTGTTCTTCCCTCCTCCCCATTCCTGTCTCCACCTGCTTCCACTTAATTAGGATGCAGCCCACTGTGTGACCAAATTATTGGATTGGTGTTGCTATTTAGTTCTGTTGCCTCATTCTCAATTACCTCTACAGATATTGCTCTAGTAGGCCCCGCAAGTTTTAAACATTAACAAAATAAAACAAGCAAAAAACCACCTGGCTGCAATCCTTAATTAAAAAGAGACTTCACCTCCCTTCCTTGAAATTTTAAAGACATAACCGAGGATCTTTTTTTCTGACACAATTTTATCCTTATACAATAAAAATATGGATTTAAAACAGTTGCCATTGTTTTATCATGATATACACATAAAGCCTTCCATGTATCAAAATAATTCCAGATAGATTAAAAAGATAAATCTTTAATAAACAACAAGGATCTACTGTATAGCACATGGAACTCTGTTCAATATTATGTGCCAGCCTGGATGGGAGGGGGTTGGGGCTTGGGGGGAGAATGGATACATGTATATGTATGGCTGAGTCCCTTCTCTGTTTATCTGAAAGTATCACAACATTGTTAATCAGCTATGCCTCAATATATTTAAAAACTGTTTTAAAAAAGAGGTATTTATTTAAAAATAAAACGGAAAATTGAGAGAAGGAAAAAAAAGAGAGAATTGTATTTTCATCAAAACCTGAGGGAAGACCTTCCTAAGCTTAGGTGTAATCCAAGAAATCACAAAGAGAAGGATAGTCAAATTTGATATAAAGAGTTCAAACTTCTGAATATTAAAAGTATAGGCAGTAAGGTGGTGATTTCACAGATGCACACTTGGGTAAAAATCCATCAAATTATATACATAAAATCATTGCCCTTTCCTGAATGTAATTTACAACTGAAACAAACAAACCTTAATGTGAACAAAGCAGAAAGCAAAATTACCACAGGAAATTCCCTGGCTCTCTGGTGGTTAGGACCTGGTATGTTCACTCCTGACAGCCAGGGTTTGATCCCTGGTTGGGGAACTAAGATCCCAAAAGCCACATGGTGTGACCAGAAAGAAATAAAAATAAATAGCATAGTAAAACTATAGCCATGTAAAGGATTTGGCTGAAGAGAAGGATAGAAAAGAGTTGAAGGAAAGAAAAGAGTGGGGCCCTAATATCTTTATCATATAAAATGGAATGTGAAGAAGTACTGTCCATAGTTGACAGAATAAGAAATAAACTATAGGTGTAGTATATACAGCTGTAAAGATAACCAACTAAAAATAATGATGAAACCATGTGGAATGAGTAGAAATTTGGTACTAAGTGAATTAAATCTTTATGTATTATAGAGGCAGCCACAGATAATATACAAAACTGATACCACATGAAATAATGGTAATTTGAAGGTAACTATAAAAAGAATCATCAGCTAAAAAAGTAGAATGAAGATTAAAAATGAGAATAAATAGGGCAGGGGTATGTTAATTTTCATTTGTAGCCCTTTTGTACTATTTAAAATTTTACACCATGTTCATGTGGGTTAAGATAAAAACATTAAAAACCATTGCCTAGGAATAAATTAGCAACGCCATCTTTGGGTGTTGAGACTGTGGGTGGTCTTTGTCTTCTTTCTTTTCTAATTATTTTATAACAAATATGCATTTTATAACAAATAAGCTTTTTTAAAGACATACTTTGCCAAATATGTAGTAATATGAAAAAATTCATATGATGTCATGCTTATAAAAACAGTATATAAAATTATAGTATAGTATGATTTCCACTGCTGTTAAATAAAAGCACGGAAAACAGAGCTTATTCTATGATATTTGCAGTGCTGGTCTTGAGTGGTGGGACCATGTGCGGTTTTTCTTTTTCATACTTTTCTCTATTTTTGTATTGACTTTACTGAATTATTTTTACAATGGAAATGTTTAGTTAAAAAAAAAAACAGACAAAATATTAAAGTCCAGATAGGCAGAAACCAAAATTAATTCAGTAGATTTCTAAAAACCAATGTCCTTTTTTGGGAAGGGGAATACCGCTGGAGGCCCCTCCTTGAGGGACTCCCCTAGCCCCTGCTTGACTCTTGTCCTCATCAGCTCACTGAGAACTGAGAGTGGAAATAGCCCCTCCAGAAGCCATCATGTCAAAGCCTTTCTCAATCTTCACTGTCCCTGACTATTCCCTCCTCCTTGAAAATCTCTCCCATCCCGCTTGACTCCAGTAACCACAGTTCGGGCTCCTCTCCTGGAGACCCTAGGTCTCCTCTACTGATTCCTCATCCTCTCCCACACCCTGTGTTCTCCAGACTCAACCACTGCATCTCACCTCTTCTGTGTATTGAGGTTTAGGATTTCCCTACCACCCCTCAGCCACCTAACAACCACCTGAGCCATTTCTGCCTCCAGGACTTGATAGTGCTTGGCTGCTGCCTGTTCAGTGTTTCTCCCTGAGCTCCCCGTGTCTGGCTCATTCTCATCACTGAGCTCTCTGCTCAAAGGCCCCTCCGCAGTCAGCAACCCTTGAGTCTCCAGTGTGGTGTTATCTCTCTCTCCCAAGTTGCTCTCACAGTGAGGTTATTTACATATTTATTGCTTGTCCCCATAGAGTGATGGTAGTGTGAACTCCACAAAGGCAGGGACTTTGTCAAGCTTGTTTTCTGTTCTATCTCCAAGTGCATGCAACAGTAACTGTGACTATTTGTTCAATGAAAGAAATGACCACATGAGGATTCTTACTGTCATCTCCAGTTACAAGCTTTTCCAGGAAACTAGACTTAGAGTTGAGCACCTCACCCATGATCACACAGCCTGAAAGTGACAGAGCTGGGATTTAAACCCAAGGGTTCCTGATCCTAACTAAGCCCGTTCTTTTCACCATTACACATGCTGACTCTTTGTGTGTGTTCACATAACTATGGGAAGAAATTTGGAGTAATATTAACCATCAAAAGTTGCTTAAGTTGATGAAGGTGGAGGTGAGGCATATTCCAGCTATTCAATATGAAAGTGCTTTTGCAGTTTCTTGTATCTGCTGCCTTTTGTGCTCTATTCTTTCTCATGCTTGCAGTATCTACAGGCTCTCACATTCACTTCCACAGGGCAAAAGCTAGGAGGGAGAACTTCCTTAGCATCCAGAGCCAACACCACTATTCTACCTCAAACTCATTTATCTCCTTAGAAGATCATCCTCTATCTTACTTTTCTGTATCTTAACAGATATTATGAAACAAAAGTTTCTGATGGCTCAAGGATTTTTTGAAACATGTTTAACAAGGTTAAACATGTTTCTTTCCTGCAGAGTATAAGTTTTAAATCTGATTTATATTGTTAATTTCCAAAAGGAGGATGCAGAATACAGCTTTTATAGAACTGGTTTTTCTACAGGCTCTGTTTTCATGGAGCACTCTCTGGGATTAGTATTCCAAGGAACACACTTTGGGAATTACTTGTCTAACTGACCTGTAGAATACAACTATACTTTAGCAACTAGCAAATTCCCATTGTATCTGTAACAATGAAGATTACTTTTTAAAATAATAAAAACAATATAAGAAGATTGAAACTTTGGGAAAAAAAGCTTTACGCATAATCCTAGCTAGTTCCTAACCAAAAATTATTCTCCTTTTTGCACGTATTTCCATGGAGGTGAAGAGCATAGGCTCTAAGCTCAAAGTAAAATCCCATTTACTTCTTGCTCTTTAATCGTGGGTAGATTATTATCCTCCAATTAAACCTCTTAGCATGACTCAATGGTAGTATTTGCTCAATAAAAAGTAGCTTTAAAAAACATCCTGTTTAAAGTGTATACATATTGTATTACTGCAATCATACTGTAAAATTTGCATTCTGTTTTTTCCACCTAACATTTCACCACAGTCTGTCAAAAATTATTTTTATAATTATTTTACAATTATAAAGGTTTTTAAAATAAAGAGAATAATAGAGCTGCATTAATATATCCATAATCCATTTTGATGAGTTATGATATTGCCAGTTTTGTTTCAAAAGTTATTCTTAGAAAAATAAAACATTACAGGTGTACTTGAAGGCCCTGTATATATCTCCAGGGTCCTTTTCCCTTCACTTACTTCACCTCCCAGGGTTAACTACTATTCTGAAATTGGTGTGTATCTTTTCCTTTATGTTTTAATTTTTTTACAATGTATGTACATGCTCAACATATTATATTGCTTTGCATTAAAAAAAACTATATAAATGTTTTCCACTCAACATTGTTTTCATGGTTGTTAGTATTTTCATTGTGACAAACAAATGCTACCCTAAGCATTCTTAGATGTGTCTCCTTGGCATGTATAGGAGAGTTCCTCTATTCCTCCCCATCTAAGATCCTGAAAGCCACGTGGTATGGCCAAAAAGAAAAAAAAAAACAAACACACAGTGGGTTTAAGTCCCAGGCTGGGTTGTGTGGTTGCAGTTACTATATTATTGCTTAAATTATTCTAGTCTTCTAATATATAACCTTTAATATCTGGTAGGGCATGTATCCTCCTTACTCTTTTTCAAAATTGTCTTGGCTTTTCTTGGCCCTTCACTCCCCCCAAGTAAAAGTTTGGATCAGTCCATTAATAAGAAAATACTCTAGGGATTATAACTGTAGTCATATCACAGGCATTTCAAAAACAAATTATTGAAAGTTTCAATGGTTCTTTCAGAATAGTTCTTTCTTAAATAGCACTTAAGAAACAAAGAGTTTACAAATGAAGGAGGAAGGGGTTTCACCACATTGTCCAATGGGCACCTCTTCCTGACTGTCCTATTTCTGTCAGTGTCATCACCACTGTTGAGATTCTCGGAGTCATCATTAGAGTTTCTTTTTCTTTCACTTACCTTGTCTAAATATTTACCAGATTGCCTGCTATTTCTTTGGATTGCCTGTATTTTCCAATCTGCCCTTCCTTTCCCTGACACTGCTCTGGTGCAGACTCTTACCCTTCCTGTTAGGCTGGGGCACTGACCTCCAATTTATACCCCTGCTTCTTAAGGCCCTTACTCTCCAAAGTCTATCTTGATTACTAATTAATGGTCCTGAAATACTATCCAGCTCCTCCCAATCTCAGAGCCCTCATCTATTCCTACCTGCAGGGTAAAGTACAACTCCTCTGCCTGACACTCAGCAGGCCCCACCTTACCTGCCTAGCCCTCTCAACTGTCCCCTGCTTCCTCCCCAGTAACCTTGAATCTCCCCAGTGCCTGGAGAGCCTGCCTACTCATTCTTTCTCCACTCCAGCTTCCTACTTTCCAACTGTTACTCACTCCAACAGTTCAATGGGGGATCAAGGTAGCTCCCCAGACTACCAGACCCAGAATGGTCTACCTACTTTGAATATCCTCAGTGCTTCTATTTGCATATTTTGCAGCAAAGCAATGTGCGATCCATTTTCACTGTGTGAGATAGGGTTTCTCAATCTCAGCACTATTGACCCCTTGCCCCAGCTAATTCCTTGGTTGTGGGGACTTTCCTTTGTTTCCAGGGCAAACTCCCTGACCTCTACTCCGATAGATGCCAGTTAGCACCCTCTACTTGTGGTGACTGGAACTGCCTCCAGACATTGCCAAAAGTATCCTGTGAGACAAAGTTGCCTCTGGTTGACAGCACCAGTGTGTGAGAAGACTCGTGTCACCATCCGCACTCTCTGAACAAGAAATCCCTGGAGTCAGATGTAGCATCTGCCTACTTGCATGAACCAGAGAGCAGCTACAAGGCAGCCCTGGACCTCCTCTGGCAGTTGGTTTTCACTCCAGTTCAGAGCATCTGAAACAAAGGCATGCCCGTATCTGCCTGCTAGTACATGCTGACCACACCCTACTGTTTAGGAAGTCTCCTTCTTGAGGTAACAATGTCAGGAAGGAGAATGGAAAAAGCATTAAGGATAGAGACACTGATTCCTACTCATCAACGTCTAAGAGATGGTTGATCATGCAGTAAGAAAACAAAATACAGTGTGGATGGGAGCCACATTTGCTATCAAGATGCTAGGGTCATTTGATTGCCATGTTTTAGGTGTCCAGGGACTAAATGGAGTCCTATCCTATGACTTTCATTTTCAAAACCAATTTAGTAATAAGAGCTAGTTGGCCAACACTGTCAGAATACTTTTACAGGTTCACCTAAGTTTTAAGAATATTATTCATAATACACTCTCCAGAGTGGTATAGACTCATTTTAAGGAGGATGTTGTGCAGGCCTCAAAGGGATTCTGTGGGACTTTGGGCACACACGTGAGTCCCTGGGTGGCCCTAGGGTCTGAAAAATGCTCCAGGTCATTGTCCCCCATATGAATCGGGGAGTCCCAACATGCAGGTTTTTCTCCAGGCCACACAGCCGTGCCCCTCTTTTGACTTTTTGGCTCCTCCACAGTTGTACTTTCCCCAGCTTTTAAATTTTTTTGACTGTACTACGCAGCATGTAGGATCTTACTTCCCTAACCAGGGATCAAACCTGCACCCCACCCTGCATAACCTCTGGACCACTAGGGAAGTTCCCTAAAAGGTTTTTACCAAGATTGACACTGGGTTAGCCATCCTCCCAGGCACTCCCTCTATGCTGGCCAGCTCAGGACCACCTCCTCTCAGCTCCTCTCAGCTGTTTTGACTTCTGCCTTGGGATGCTCATTTTTCCTTCTTTCGGTTCCCTCTGGGGAGGGTCCCTGACTCACCTCTCAGAAGCTGGGCTGCAGTGGGAGGGTAAGAGAAGCAGGCAGAGGGAACGCTGTAATTGGTTTTCAGAATCTCCAGAAGATCTGCTGTGTACCTGGAGAGACACCAGCCTGTGTTCAGAATATGAGGACTTGGGGCCGGCAGGTGGGTAAGCAGAAGGAACACCAGCAACTTGACACTCCCTTGAACACTCCTAGGTTCATGGAGCATCTCCATTTCCCCTCAAGCCCCAAGTGACAGTCTGCAGGTCTGGCTGCAGTGCTCGAAAAGCCCACAGTCCATCCCCTCCACTTCCATAGGGGCAGCAGCCCAGGGGTTGGCTAGGGAGAAAAAGCAGGGTCCCAGAGAAAGAATGGACCCTTAGCACCAGGAACGGGTCCCCAGCTGGGCAGAGCTCTATGCATGTCCCTCATGCCCCTTCCACCTCTGGGATCTTCCTCTGCCTGGTTGGGGGCCAAAGCTAAGACTCTGAGGGGTCATACACTCACCCTTCCCCACAGTGTCCCTGAGGACCTTCCGGAATGACCAGACCATTGTCAGTCCTGTTTCATTCTTGTGCTGAGAGGGAGGTAGGGACAGGCCAGAGTGAGAGGGCCCCCTGCTGCTTAGCAACTGGCTCCTGGCTTGGGGCCTGCCTCCTTCACTCACCTGGGATCGAGCCTTATCTGAGTCCTGCCTGGCTCCATCGTCTTCTTGCTCTATCCGGCTTTCCTTCCCGGCAGGCACTGAGGGCCAAGGAGAGACAGGTAAGCTGGGGCCCTGAGGGGAGGTGGCTTCAGCTGACTGCGGCTTCCAAGACTGGCCGTGGGTTGGTGGAGTGGCTGGGTCTTCCCCTCTGGCTCTCTCCCTCCTCAGGCCTCCTGTGCCCACAAGTTCCTTTCTCAGAGTTCACCTCAGAGGAATTTGAACCCCTCAGCTGGCTGAGTTCCCTGGTTCCTGACTCCTCCCTGACCGTAGGTGTGGTCCCTCTTTCTTCCCTCCCGTGAATGCCTCTGGCTACCCCTTGACCCCGGTCCACCTTCACTCTCCATCCCTTCTGAGGAGATTCCCAGGGCCCTGGTAGAGACAAAGTCCTTGATCCCCCCACAATCCCCCACCCCCACTGAGCGACCCCTCCCCCTTAGAACCCAGCAGGAACTCAGGCTCTGTCCCCCTGAAGATGGAAGTCAAGGCCAAGGCTTTGACGGTATTGGTGCTATTGGCTGGGTGTGCAGAAGGGAGGGCAGCTGGGAAATCCAGATGAGACCCAGCTTAGAGCATCCTGACGACAGGCTCATCCAGCCAAACAGCCCTAAAGGTGCAGCAAATGGGCGGAGGGGAGTATTTAAGAGGCACTTATGGAGTAGGATCTCTGGGTATTTTGACAGATTTTGAAAAACTGCCAAATGTTATGCTTACGAACTATTTTATTGATTGGTGATGTCTCTTCTTGCTTTCTCCTTAAACCTATTTAAGGCCAAACATAGTACCCCTAAGTTCCCAGCACAGGGCCTCACACATACTTAAGTGCTCCTTAAAATCAGTTGCATGACAGACAAAATAATGAAATCACAGCAACAGTAGCTAATGCCTGTTGAGTGTTTATGTAACAGGTGGTACAAGAATTGCTGCATATTCTTTCTCTCATTTAAACTTCACAAGTACCCTTACAAGGTAAATGATTTTTTAAAATCTGTTTTTTAATTGGAGGATAATTGCAGTTTTGTGTTGATTTCTGCTGTACAACAAAGAAAATCAGCCACTTTTATATATACATATATATATATACATAAACATATATATCTGCTCCCTCTTGAGCCTCCCTCCCCACTCCCATCCTACCCCTCTAGGTCCTCAGAGCACCGGGCTGGGCTCCCTGTGTTATATAGAAGCTTCCCAGTAGCTATCTGTTTTACACATGATAGTGTATATGTGTCAATGCTGCTTTCTCAGTTCATTAAAGGTAAATGTTATCTTTGTTCTCATGTTACAGATAAGGAAACTGAGGATCAGAGGGGTTATGACACTACACTAAGTTGGATACATGGTGATATGGAGAGAGGCAGAAGGGACCTGGGTTAGGGGCTCTGTTGAGGCCTAGATGAAGTTCTTGATAGTAGAACAACAATAGCAACAGAAGCCCAGTAGAGGGTCAAGAGAGTCCGTTTTGGGAACACAGAAAAGTCCCCCTGCTCTGGGTTGGTGGGTAGATGTGGTCAGAGAAAGCAGTTACTGATGTACCAAGAAGACTCCTTACTCCTGTCCCAAAGTAGCACCTCAAAATATCTCCTGAGGATCAAGAAGAGTCCTCTCTTTTTGTTACCCTTTTCCTTAAGTACAGTTCTCTGGACAGGACAATGAAGTGATCCAGGAGTCTCAGGGGCCAATGACCTCCTGAAGTGGACATATGGGCACAACCCGTAAGACAAGGGCACTGACCTCCAGAGGGTCAGTCGCCTGGGCCCTGCCCTAGCAAAGACCCAGGCTGACTCAGCTTCCTCAAACCATTTCCACAGGAATGCTTCCTGCTCCCTGGGTCATTCATCCCTATCCTGGTGAGAAGCCTTGAGCTTAATCACCCAAGGCCCTTCCTTAGAGCAGAACACAGGGCTTCCCCGGTGGCTCGGTAGTAAAGAATCCACCAGCCAATGCAGAACACGCAAGTTTGATCCCTGGGTCGAGGAGGCCCCCTGGAGAAGGAAGTGGCTACCCACTCCAATATTCTTGCCTAGAAAATCCCATGGACAGGAGCCTGGCGTGCTGTAATCCATGGGGTGGCAAAGAGTCAAACACGACTGAAGCAACTGAACAACAAAAACCAACAGAGCAGAACACAGGATGCTGAGGATGTTCCCTGAAACTTCTCTGGGACAGAACTGTGGGGCAGAGGTGGGGGAGGCGGGAGAGGAGGCCTGAAGAGCAGGAGGGAAGGCCGCTGGGCAGGGGCTGGCAGGCCCAGGGGAGACTGGATAATCCTCAGGTTGGATGGTGACGCAAGGAAGAGGGGCAGGTGATCGGGGAGAGGGAAAGCTCTCAAGTGTTGCTTCTGCCTCACCCAGGGTCCCTCAGTGACTATCTTTATACAGTGCGACCCATGGATTAGTTAAGGCCAGTCTGTCCATAGCTAAGGTGTGGCTAGAAGATGAGGTGGGCCAGCCAATCAGATTCTTCTCTTGCTAATTTAAGACTGTGGAACCTTGATTTTTAGAATCAAGACGAATGAAGTCTTTATTTATTTATTTATGTTTGTTTGTTTAATTTCCTCTGCAAAATCATATGGTAACATAAGACATCTATTACTTCAGTTCTGGCTTCTCAGTGTAAGGGCCATTTTTGAAAAATACAAACTGATCATACATTTCATCAGTTTTTCCCTAGGGCTCTTAAATCGTTTGATATTCAAAGGCCAGTCTTTCTCTTTTAAAATACTTCTTATTGAGATAAAATTCACATAATATTCACTACCTCAGTCATTTTAAAGTAATTCGGTACATTGTCGTATATTCATAATGTTGTGCACCCATCATCATTAATCTAATTGCAGAATATTTTTATCCCCCAAAGAAACCTCGTGATTCTCAATTATTCTTTCTTCTCACCCCTTGGCAGCCATTAGTCTACTTTCTCTCTATGAATTTGCCAGTTCTGGACATTTCATCTAAATAAAATAATATAATATGTGTTTTTTTTTTGGTAGTCTTGTTTATCTCACAAGACCTACAAAAATTATGGGGGAAAGTGCTCTATAGCCCCTCCACAAGGGCGGGGGACGGGGGAGAATGACCCTAACTCTGGCTTTTTGTATTTGAATTCTTTCATCTAACATAATGTTTTCAAGATTTATCCATATTGTAGCATGTATCAGTGCTCATTCCTTTTAATGGCTGAATAATATTCCATTGTTGGAGGAGGCAATGGCAACCCACTCCAGTACTCTTGCCTAGTAAATCCCATGGACGGAGAAGCCTGGTGGGCTGCAGTCCATGGGGTCACTAAGAGTTAGACACGACTGAGCAACTTCACTTTCACTTTTCACTTTCATGCATTTGAGAAGGAAATGGCAACCCATGCCAGTATTCTTGCCTGGAGAATCTGGGGATGGGGGAGCCTGGTGGGCTGACGTCTATGGGGTCGCACAGAATCGGACACGACTGAAGCGACTTAGCAGCAGCAGCACTATTCCATTGTATGGATATATACCATATTTTAAAAATCAGGTAATGGCATTTATTTATCAGCTAATGGACATTTGGTTTGTTTATATATTTGGCTATTATGAAAATTACTACTTTGCAAAACTCATTTATTAGCTCTAATTGAATGTGTGTGTGTGTTCTTCAGGGATTTCCATATACAATATTGTGTCATATGCAAATGGAGATGGTTTTACTTCTTTCTTTCCAATGTAGATGCTTTTATTTCTTTTTCTTGCCTAATAGCTCTATAGAACTTCCAGTACAGTGTTAAACAGAAGTGGCAAAAGCAGGTATGCTTGTCTTCTTCCTAATCTGACAGAGAAAGTTTTCAGTCTTTCACTATTAAGATGCTGTGCTTAGTCACTCAGTCGTGTCCAACTCTTTGTGACCCCATGGAATATAACCCACCAGGCTCCTCTGTCCATGGGGATTCTCCAAGCAAGAATACTGGAGTGGGATTATGATATTAGCTGTGGGTTTTTAAAAAATGTCCTTCCTCAGACTGACGAAGTTCCCTTCTATTTCTAATCTGTCAAGGAATCATGGAAGGATTTTGCCAAATGCTTTTTCTTTTTAAAATCAGTATTTTTTTATTGAAATATAGTTATTTACAATACTGTGCTACTTTTAAGTGTTGTTGTTTAGTTGCTAAGTGGTGTCCAATTCTTTTGCAACCCCTTTGGACTATATAGCCTGCCAGGCTCCTCTAACCATGGGATTTCCCAGGCAAAAATACTGGAGTGGGTTGCCATTTCTTTCTCCAGGGGATCTTCTCGACCCAGGGATTGAACCCATGTCTCCTGTATTGGCAGGTGGATTCTTTACCACTGAACCACCTGGGAAGCCTGTTGTAGTGTATACAAAAGTGGAAATACAATGTCCTACCCATGAAACCTATATAATGTTAAAACATATGTTACTGCAATAAAATGAATTTTTAAAAAAAATTTAAAAATTGTATTCTAACTTCAATCAGCATCATAAAATGCTACTTCTTTTGCAAGATTTTAAATGTTACTTTGCAATAAGTTATCATTGTACTTGAACTTGGCATTGTTTTGCATTACAGTTGAGATGGAAAAGGAAGATGCTAGTATTAAATGAAAGGTGATGCTTGAGTGGGGCTTCATTTCTCATTCATTAGTGAATATTTTTGTGTTCTGATGTTTTAATTTACTACACAACATTATAAGTTTAGAGAGTCAGATTATGACAACTAAGAATGCAAAAAGGCTCCAGATCCTAAAATTACAAATAACAAAATACATGGTGTTGAATTCAATAAATAAATGAAACAAAAAGTCCACAAACAAACTCTAGAGATTAGGGAATGATTTGGGGACCAACACCTGTGAAAGGAGAGGGAAAGAAGGAAGGGAAGGAAGCAAGGCTGAGCAGAGGGAGATGTTGATCTGCCTCCTCCAAGGTCACATGGGGGCTAGGATGGCTCCTCAGAATTGTCTTCTATTGGAAAAGCATCTGGACCTTTATATCCTCATGTTGGACCATTCCTTGGATGCAAGCTGTCCCTGAAAAGAGGTGGGACCGTGGGTGAGGTAATTTTCTTTAGGGGAGGCAATCTCCGAAGCTGAGGCAGTTTTCTAGCCTCTGGGGGAGTAAGCTCTTCATTCCTGAGAGGGTTCTGGGAGGCACATCACAGAGTTACCTGCACATCTTAGTATGTATGAAGAACTTAGTATCTGTCACAAGAGGGAAAGGAACATTTATTCCATAAATGATGCTGGAACAATTGATTATAATGATGTGGGGAAAAAACACGATTAGACCTTCACCTAGTATCTTACCCTAACATTAATTTCAGATGGGCTTAAGAGTTAAATGAAAAAGAAAACAAGAAATATAAATATCAGATAGAAGAAGGGAAAATAAGGTAAGTTGATGCTAAGGAAATGATCCATAGATTTGATTACATAAAAACAACAAAAACTTTACACTAAACATTGCATGCAAAATTAAAAGACAAACAATAAACTGGGAACATATATTTGTAATAAACACAGCTAGAATTTTTAAGATAAAAGAGCTCCTGCAAATCTGAAAGAAAAACCCAACACTTCCATCAAAATCACAGTGAGATATCATTTTACACCCATTAGGATAGATATTACAAAAATAGAAGAAAACAAAAAGTGTTAGCATGGATGAGAAGAAATTGGAGTCCTTGTCCATTGTTAGCAGGAATGTAAAATAATGCAGCTACAATAGAAAATACTACGGCAGTTCCTCAAAACACTAAACATAGAATTACCATATGACCTGGAAATTCCACTTCTGGATATATACACAAAAGACTGAAAAGCAGGAACTTGAATAAACATTTGTGTACCCATGTTCATAGCAACATTATTCGCAATTCCACCAGAAGGTGGAAACAGTCTAAACGTCTATCAGCAGATGAATGAATAAACAAAATGTGGCATATGCATACAATTAAATATTGTTCAGTCTTAAAACCAAAAAAATTCCAATACATGTTACAACATACCAACTTCCAGGACTGCAGAAGCTCAAGGATGAATCTTGAGGACCTTATGCTAAGTGGAATAAGGAAGATTCAAAAGGACAGATGTATGATTCCACTTTTGTGAGAAATAGTCAAATTCATAGAGACAGAAAGTAAAACAGTGGTTAGCATGAACTGGGGGGAGGTGGAGTGAGGAGTTATTGTTTAATGGTATAGAGTTTCCTCTTGGGATGATGAAAAATTTCTGGAGTGGATAGTACTGATGGTTTATACATAACATAAAGTTTATGTTTACCACAATAAAAAACAGAGGAGAATACAAGAGAAAGATGTACAAAGGCAATTCACAAAACTACAATAAAATGACCTATGGATGTATAAAATATTTAATTTCATAAGTAATTTAAGGAGATATAAAAGATCAAGTTATCATTTGTCATCTATAAAATTGGAGAGACAATTTTACTTTAATATCTAACCATACTTCAGATAGTGATTGCAGCCATGAAATTAAAAGACGCTTACTCCTTGGAAGGAAAGTTATGACCAACCTAGATAGCATATTAAAAAGCAGAGACATTACTTTGCCAACAAAGGTCTGTCTAGTCAAGGCTATGGTTTTTCCAGTGGTCATGTATGGATGTGAGAGTTGGACTGTGAAGAAAGCTGAGAGCCGAAGAATTGATGCTTTTGAACTGTGGTGTTGAAGACTCTTGAGAGTCCCTTGGACTGCAAGGAGATCCAACCAGTCCATCCTAAATGAGATCAGTCCTGGGTGTTCACTGGAAGGACTGATGCTGAAACTCCAATACTTTGGCCACCTCATGTGAAGTTGACTCAGTGAAAAAACCCTGATGCTGCGAGGGACTGGGGGCAGGAGGAGAAGGGGACGACAGAGGATGAGATGGGTGGATGGCATCACCGACTCAATGGACATGTGTTTGGGTAAATTCTGGGAGTTGGTGATGGACAGGGAGGCCTGGTCGCGAAGAGTCAGACACGACTGAGTGACTGAACTGAACTGAACTGAATAGTGTAGGTATTATATCGGTATGCTCATAATAGCAGTATAAATGTGTACAAACTCTCCAGAAAGCATTTGTAAATTATGCAAAATGTTTTAAATATTCACATTTGTTGGCCCCAAGTCCAGTGTTTCTAGAGAAACAGCTGGAGATGCAGGCATCTGGATAACCGCAGAGGGCACCAATGGAGCAAAGAACACAGTGAGGTGGGGCGGGGGGGCAAGCCCTGAGAAAACATGTGGCAGAGAATTCCAGGGCAAGAGAACAGCTAGTGTGAAGGACCCAGGACTGGAATATACCAGGTGTGTTTGAGAAACAGCAAGAAGTGCTGTGTGCCTGGCTGGTGTGGAGTGAGTAAGGGCCTGAGTGTTGGGAAACAAGGTCAGAGTCAGTGGGGAAAGATCCGGAAGGGCCTTGAAAGCCATGGCAAGAACTTTGGACTTTACTCTGAGGGGGCTGGGAACAATTGGAAGGTTCTAAGCAGAGGCCATGGTCTAAGTTTTAAAAAGACAGTTACTTCATCTCAGCGGCCTCCTCAGTTGGTTGGTGGTAGCCTCAGTCCTGAGACTAGTCGGAGGCACCCAAGCCGCAGGCCCGTGTGCTAGTTGCAAGAGAGGTTTCGAATGTGGGTGTCTGGCATTTTCGGGTCCAGCTGGGCTGGAGAAACAGTCTTTGCCTTCATCAAGACATAGCTCAGGGAATCCTCCAAACACAGGGAGGTTCCGATGCTCAGTGGCTAAAACAAATGACAAGTATCAGTTGTACGTAACAGAACCCATTTTCTCACATAATAAGCTGCTCAGAGGGAGACAGTTCAAGGCTGAGGGCAGTGACTCAGTGTCAGTACTGTCACTCTGTCTGTGCCCCATGCTGACTTATTGCCTAATGGGTTGAGGTGGACCCAGCCAGCACATCTAGGTTCAAAACAGGAAGAAAGGGGCAAAACTGTACCAACTGTGTCTTTTTCCCCTTTAATCAGGAAAGCAAAAGCCTTTCCAGAAACCCTGCAACATCTACTATGTCTCATTGACCAGACTTGTGTCATGAAGCCAACCCTGGAAACAACGGAAGGTTTAGCTGCCTCCTCTCCCAAAGTGCGATTTTGTAATAACAAAAAAGGAACAGATGGAGATAGAACAATGAACACTGTTTCCTCTGATAAGCACTGATCCTGAAATGGTGAGCAGCATCACCCATCTTCTCCCCACGTTTCTCTAATCTCACGTGGTCCTGAAGCCAACTTCGCAGGGACAGGACCCCTCAGTCCCCAAGCACAAGCAGGAGTGTGGTTTGTTGTCAGGAGTGATGGTCACTGGCTGCAGACAGTTGGGCTGGAGAGCCGCTAGCCCCATTCTCCTCAGCCTCTGTGATGTCACACTGGAACTCCTTTTCTTCCACATTGGGCTGTGGCTTCCAAGGCTGCTGTGGCCATGGGACTCATGGAGCCCGCAGCGGGAAGGGAGTCTGGTGACTCTCATCTCCCCTGGGGTCACAGGAGGTCCAGCCATGCCGCTCTTGAAAGATGTCATGCCGCTCATGAAGGATCCCCACCCCCACTTCAGGCCCCACTTCCCTGGGTCCTCCCAAGCTTATTTGCTGCTTTCAATGTGGTGCTGCTGGTGATTTTCAGTGGCCTTTTCTTCGCATTTCCGTAAGTCTCCCACACAAGCTATCAGGTTTCTTACAGCGCAACAGAAAGGAAAGCAGATAATGATAGTACAGAGGCAGGGGGAGTGCAGAAGCGGGGTCAGGAAGGCAGGATGTTCTAGGCAAAGGGTACAGAGGTAGAGAGGGCTTGGTGCATTTGGGAGCTGCAGGTGGTTGGTAATACAGGGTGACTGGTGGAGTCTCTATGGATCTGTCACAAGCCTGGATATTTAGAGCAAGGTTTATGGTCTGTGGGTGCTGACTAGGTGAATTGGAGCTTCAGGGCTGAGTCCTGCTCTTGTCTCAGTTGCAGGTGGCTGGCCCAGAACGGGGAATGGGGTTTTCCCGTCATCACAGGCCTCCTCTTTATCCTCACCTTCTTCAGTCTCATTTCACTCAACTTCTCAGACCCGGGCATCTTGCATCAAGGTGAGACATTGGTCCCCTGGGGCTCCTGCCTGCAGGGGTGATCCCTAAAGTGCTCCTCCCATCTACCCTACCACCACTGGGGCCTTAGGGCTCCTTCACCCCACGTCCTCATTTGCTCAGGCCCTGCACCTGTCACTTCATTTCTCAAGCCATGGAGGTGTGAAAAAAAAAACAGAATCTTGGAGGTTTTCCAGTTTCCTTGGAGGGGAGAGCCAGGGCAGAAGTTTCTTGGGAGAGAAGCCAGCTCTTCACAACCACTCAGTTTTCTCTTCCTCCTCCCTACCACACAAATTCCGTAAAGCGTTGGTCACAGTACTGAAGGCCTGAGTTCACAAAGAACTCCTCAGGCTGGAAACCCACTTTCCCTGTGACTGCCAGTTTCTCTAAGCTTGGCCAGCTTGTTCAGTGGGGACTAAGGATTCCCCTGCCACCTGGTCCCCATGCTTCCTGAGCCCAGGGATGCCGTGGGGCTGCCCGCCCCCACCCTTTGCTGCAGCAGACTGATGGAAGGGCCTCCGGCTGCTGCTCAATCCTTTTCCCATGCCAGGATCCAATGAACAGGGCCCCCTGATGGTACCTGTGATATGGGTGAACCACAGGGCCTTCTGCCTGCAGTGGTGCCAAAAGTGCTGCTTCCACCGCCCGCCCCGGACCTACCACTGTCCTTGGTGCAACATCTGTGTGGAGGTAAGTGCCCCTCTCTCTTGCCTACCTACTCTCCCAGCACCTGTCTGGGACCAGGAGGCCTACTCATACGGGAGCCAGTGGTGGGCGTGAAACTACTTCTGGGACTGCTAAAGACCAAAGGCAGCAGTAATTCCCAGCCACTCTTGATCACTCAGGCAGGTCACTGCCTCTGTGCCTGCACCTTTTCCGGGAGGCTGGCCCCTTCCTGCACTGGTGCTGACATTGTAGAGGGGCATCCACATCTATGCTGGGCCTGGTCAGACACTGCTGTTCTTCCTAGGGCTCAATGACACTGGACGCCCAGATGCCCTTGGCAGGCTGCAGGACCAGCTAGGGGAACATCCTGCCTCTTCTGAATGTCTAGGCCAGAGGGTCTCCTGGTCTCCTGGGTTGCAAGTGCACAGTCTGCAACAGTTCAGCAATGTGCTGTCTTAACTGGTCCTTACAATTCTGGGAGACTGGCTGGGCAAGGGTGTTACTATTAGGCTCATCCAATGGATGAGAAAACAGATGCCCAGAGATATCCTGTGTCCTGTCCGAAGTTACACCAGGATTTATCCCAGAGAAGACCAGGCAGGTCCCGTCTCCAAAGCCTCTTGACATGACATACAGCTCTACAAGCCCTGCGGTGCTCTAACTGGGGGAATGCCAGCAGGTTAAGGACTTTGAGGCTCAGATTCTCCCTAGGAATGGGAGCCACTTTGTGAGGTCAAGGGCAGGAGGTTTAGAGGGAACGCATAAGATTTGGGGGTGATGAAAAAAAAAAGATTTGGGGGCGACGGAGCCTGGATCAGAGATTGGGTCAAGGCCTGAGCCCTCTCCCTCTTGCCTAGGACTTTGACCACCACTGCAAGTGGGTCAATAACTGCATCGGTCACCGCAACTTCCGCCTGTTTATGCTGCTTGTCCTGTCCTTATGCCTCTACTCGGGTGCCATGCTGGTCAGTTGCCTGATCTTTCTGGTGCGCACGACCCACCTGTCCTTCTCCATGGACAAGGCCATCGCGTATCCGCTGGGCTGTGGGGACCAACGGCCCAAACAGTGAGAGCGGCGAGGAGCTGTCAACAGAGGGGCGGGGTCACGGGGCGGGCAGAGCTAACGGTGAGCAGGGTTAGACGGTGAAGCCGCCCGAGAGGACCGGTCTGGGACGAGGTGAGGGTAGGCAGGGTCAGAGAGATGGGTGGGGATGGGAGGAACTGCGAAGGGGTGAGCTAGCAGGGTCAAGGATGGAGAGTGCTAGAAGTGGCGCGGGCCCTAGGCTGCAGGGGGAGCAGGGAGCGGGTGGGCGGGGTTAGGTGAGGGGCGGGGCCAAGGAGGTCCGTCCGGAGGCGCTGCTCCTTAGCTGCTCCGCAGCATCTTGGTTGCTGTACCCGCCGCCGGCTTCCTGGTGCCCCTCTTACTGTTGCTGCTGATCCAGGCCATGTCGGTGAGCGCGGCGGAGCGCTCCTACGAGGGCAAGGTACGTGGGGACGAGCGGGGCGCCATGATGGTATCGGGCGGTGGGTGGTCAGCTTACCCCTCCCGGGCTTCCGCACTTTCCGCTTTCTCCTTCGCCTTGGTCTTTGATGGCCTGAGCTCTCTCGAAGGTGCCTCTTGAGCCCTTCCAGACGCAGATTCAGCTCAGATCTCACCTCCTTCCGGAGCTCGGTAGTCACTCTTCTTGCGTCGAAGGTGCACTAGTGAGCGCTAGGCCGCGTGCGCATTATTTTGAGCCATGGGCGTGGAGGCGAGTAAGGCTGCATCCTGCGCGTGTGTTAACAAGGGACCGGAAATCAGAGTAACTCACCGGACAGCAACGAACGCGCTGAGAGAGGGGCCTGCAGACGTTGTGTAGCGCAAAGTCAGAGCCCTGAGAGTTCAATGAGGACCGCGGTGTTGAGTAGGACATGTCACTTGGCGGTTTTGGACGGCAGAAGGCGAGGCATTGCAGTGAGGGGCAAAGACTGCAAAAAAGCACGGAAGCCTGAAAGTCTGTGGAATGTTGGTAGGAGGATGAGGGAACATTTCTAATTGCACCAGGTGTGGCATGCACAATCAAGTGATCTGCCAGGGATTGTCCAGATTTAAAAGGCAAAGAAGTCAGGTGGATAATTTAATCTTGGTGCAATGGAAACTTGGAAGCCTTGATAGGATTTTTTTCTTTACACACAGTAAAATTCACCCTTTTTAGTGCACAGTTGTATGAATTTTGACAAAAATACAGTTCTGTAACCGCTGCCATAACCAAGATTTAGAATAGCTCCATCCACCCTCCCCTCACTCCCCAAATTCCCTCGTGGACTTTTGTAGTCCATTTCTCTCCCTACTTGCAGCCTCTGGCAATTACAGAATTGTTTTCTAGCCCAATAGTTTTTCCTTTATCGGAATTTCATATAAATGGAATCATAGCCTTTTGAGTCAGCTTTCATTCACTCAGTGTAATCCATTTGAGATTCATCCAGGTTGTTTCCCATATCAGGAGTTTCCTCCTTTTTATTTGTGTAGTATTTCATTATACAGTTGTGTCACAGTTTGTTTACTCATTTTCACCAATTGAAGGATATTTGCATTGTTTTGGGTTTTGGTGATTACAAATGAGGCAGGACAGGAGAATTTTGGATCCCACCAAAAAAAAGATACCCCATGTCCAAGGGTAAAGGAGAAGCCCCAGCAAGACGGTAGGAGGGGCAAAATCACATTTAGAATCAAACCCCATACCTTCCAGAAACCCTTGGAGGGCTCAAACAAACCTTGTGTGCACCAGGACCCAGAGACCTCACAGAGACTGAGCCAGAACTGTGTTTGAGTATCTTCTGTGGAGATACAGTTCAGCAGTGGCCTGCCGCAGGGGCAGGGGCTCTGGGTGCAGTAGACCTCGGTATGGCATAAGCCCTCTTGGAGGAGGTTGCCATTAACCCCACCACAGAGCCACCAGAACTTACACAGGACTGGGGAAACAAACTTTTGGAGGACACAAACAAAACCTTGTGCACACCAGGACCCAGGAGAAAGGAGCAGTGACCCTACAAGAGACTGACCCAGACTTGCCCATGAGTGTCCAGGAGTCTCTAGCAGAGGCGTGGGTCTGCTGCAGGGTTGGGGGCACTCAGTGCTGCAGTGCATGCATGGGACCTTTTAAGGGAGGTCACCATTATCTTCATTCAGTTCAATTCAGTCACTCAGTCGTGTCCGACTCTTTGTGACCCAAAGGACTGCAGCACACCAGGTTTCCCTGTCCGTCACTAACTCCCGGAGATTACTCAAACTCATGTTCATTGAGTCGATGATGCCATCCACCCATCTCATCATCTGTCGTCCCCTTCTCCTCCTGCCTTCAGTCTTTCCCAGCATCAGGGTCTTTGCCAATTAATCAGTTCTTCGCATCAGGTGGCCCAAGTATTGGAATTTCAGCTTCAGCATCAGTCCTTCCAGTGAACACCCAGGACTGATCTCCTTTAGGATGGACTGGTTGGATCTCCTTGCAATCCAAGGGACTCTCAAGAGTCTTCTCCAACACCACAGTTCAAAAGCATCAATTNTCTGATAGACAGAGTGCCTGATGAACTATG